GATATATAATTGAGCCCCCGCAGATGGTACGCAGAGTACTCATCGGAAAAAAGACAAAGAAACTGACCACCTACAGATCTGGCCTTCCACGTTAGCCAACGCTGCACTGTTTCAGACACTTCATAGCGGTGCGAACCCGATCGCTGATGGATGGAGGATTTCCCGGTATCGCTTTTTCTTGTATGTCTTCATTGGGAGCTTCTGCTGGTATTGGCTCCCTGGCTACATTTTCACCGGACTGAGCACATTCGCTTTCATTTGCTGGGCCGCTCCGAGTATGTCCTCAATTTCTCTCAAAAAGCTATATGTTCTCTAACAAGTCATTTTGCAGACAACAAAGTACTTAACAATTTGTTCGGAATGACGACCGGGCTTGGATATCTTCCCACAACCTTCGACTGGAGTCAAATTGCTTACAATACTTCCCCCTTGGTCATGCCATTCTGGGCACAGGCAAACGTGTTCGCCGGCTGGTTCTGTGTGTATGCAGTGATAGCCCCAATTCTCTACTACACCAACACATGGTTCACTGCACACCTCCCTTTGACCGGGTCCGATGCGTACGACAATACTGGCAATGTCTACAATTCGAGCCGAATTCTGGATGCGAGCGGCGCCATTGACGAGGCCAAGTATCGCGAGTACAGCCCGATCTTTCTGCCTGTGACCTTTGCCTTGAGCTATGGACTCGGTTTTGCTGTCCTCAGCTGTCTGATCACCCACGTCTTGCTGTACCATAGCAAAGATATCCTTAGCACATTCAAGGGCGAAAATAAGAAGGATATCCACACAAGACTGCTTTCCCGCTACCCCGATGTTCCATGGTGGTGGTACGGAATCCTGACTGTAAGTTCAGGCGTTATAGCGATCTTCCCTGGCAGAGGCTGACACCCCACAGGTTATCGTTGTGGCGGTAGCAATCATGACTCAGTATGTCTGGCATACAGGGCTTCCATTCTGGGGTCTCTTTATCACTCTTGCCCTTGCAGCAATCTATGTGATTCCCGTCGGAACCGTGTATGCCGTTGCCAACCTGAACAGCAATGTTTTGACCGTGCTGGGAGAGATTATCTCGGGTTATACGTTGAAAGGAAAGCCCCTTGTGCTTCTTATCTTCAAGGTAAAATGCAAACACAACACTCGTTATTGGCAGCAGTCGCTTATTGTTCCTCAGTTCTACGCATACACCGGATTGAGTCAAGCAATGTACTATGGTGCAGATATGAAGGTTTGTCCCCTCGATGCCCACGTCTGAAATACTCCGCTAATCCATCACGTACAGCTCGGATTGTACATGAAGATCCCGCGTCGGACATTGTTTGTTGCTCAGCTTGTCGCTTGTATACTTGGAACCCTAACCCAGAGTGAGTTTCAGACACGAGTGTTTCTATACAAGTGCTGACGACCTTCTCTCCCAGATGGTGTCCTGATATGGATGCTTGGCAACGTGAAAAATGTATGCTCAAGTGATCAGCCTGACAACTTTACCTGCCCGCAAGGCCGAGTAAATTACAACAGTGCAATTTTCTGGGGTGGTATGCCTTTGCCGATCTCTTTTGTATAGTCACGGACTGACAGGTTTAATCAGCGATTGGGCCCACGCGACTATATAACATCGGCCAGAGGTACTCTGGTCTTTTGCACATGTTCTGGATAGGAGCATCACTTCCTATCATTACATACTTCATTCGAAAGAGATTCCCCAAGTCGCGGTTCATCGATGCAATCCACTGGCCGATCTTCTTTGCGGGCACTGGAAATCTACCCCCGGCGGTATGAATTTGTCTCCCCTACATGCTCTTTGCTAGCTAACTGATATGCATCAGACCGGCATCAACTATACGACTGCTTTCGCAGTCAGTTTCATCTTCAATAAGGTGAGCTTTCCGCTCTATAGATGAGATGCCAATGAGAAGCACTAACGGCCGGCAGGTCATCAAAGGCCGTAGACCGCACTGGTGGGCCAAGTACAACTACGTGTTATCCGCAGCTCTCGACTCTGGCGTCGCTGTTGCCGCAATTCTGATATTCTTCGCGCTGATTTTTCCCGGTGTCAGCCTGAATTGGTGGGGAAATACCGTCAACAGCGGGACAGTTGACGCAAAGGGGACACCTTGGAAAGAATTGGGTGTGAATGAGACATTTGGCGAGAGGACTTGGTCATGAGCATGAAATGATGCATATCAATGATTTATGTCCTATCTGGAGGTCCGCAATGTATGCTGAAATCAGCTATTGCTGTAAATGTATGTGTATGCCTCAGGCATACGGAATCCCCGCGGGGTGATAATCGCGCGTCCTCATTGGTGAATTGCACCAGCCGGAGCGGATTCTTCCACCCTTATCGATCCAGAAATAATGACTCCTTCCATTGCGAAGGTCGATAAGCTCCATCATTCATCCATCTACTTTAGGCTCTATTTGAACTTTCGAGGGAATTGCCGGATTGTATATACTCGTACCGCCTTGACAAGGTCTATCTGGTGCTCAAATCACCTCGTATCCGATTGTCAAGACTCTTAAGATTTAATTTGCCACTGGGGTTCGAAAAAAAGTCCGCAAACTCCTCTTCATCTCCTTTCAAACGCACCAATGGTCCTCGCAGCATGAAACTGGCCATGTAAAGGGTCCCATCACGCCGGAATTCGGATGCCACGTAAAAAGGCTGCAGACCGTGTGGGTCCGGTCAAGACCCGAACTCGCAGCGGCTGCAAGGAGTGCCGCGCGAGTCGCGTCCGCTGCGACACGCAGAAACCAGTTTGCACCCGATGCCGGGACAAGGGTCTCGCATGCTCCACGGAGCTGGTGCTTAAATGGGAGTCGGAGTTTCTGAGCCGGGGCCTGGCGTTTGGTCGAGCGGGTGTTTGGAGTAAGTCCCGCCCCGCTGGCACGGGGTCTCGAGCGACGGCGTCGGCGTTGTTGTCGGCTGAGGAGCATGAGTGGTGCGAGTATCCTGCTGTTGAAAGCTGGAGTTTTGTGAACAGTGGTGTATCGACCTTTGAGAATCCATCCCAGGTGAATGTTGCCTGCGATGAGTTGAATGGTATTGTGGTTCGTGCGAAGGGCAGGGAGTTGGTGTATGGGGGTGTCGGGTCGCCTTCGTCGGTGGTTGTTGCGGACGATGGTATGATTGCGCGAGAGGTGTCGAGTCCGCCGGCTTCGCTGTCGCTGTTTCCGAATATTTCAGAGTCAAGCCAGACGCACTTGTTTGATTATTATTTGCAGCAGGTGTGTCCGCGTACGACGGCCAGTTCGAAACTTGCCTCACCTTTCGCCTCGGTCATACTCCCATTTTGCTTGTCTGCGTCGCCGACACTGTTCAAAGCTATTCAAGCGCTGGGAGCGTGCCATTGGTCGCGCTTCGATCCGTCATACAGCGTCATCGGCCTTCGTTTGAAGTCTGAAGCTTTGCAAGGTCTCCGCCACAGACTTGCTACCGAAGGCTCGTTGACATGTTCGGCTGACCCTGAAGTGTTGGTCATTATGATGATGCTCTGTCTATACGAGATTGTGGACAATTGTGACCAGCGGTGGACGATACACTTGAAAGGCGCAAAGGAGTTGATCCGTGCCAGGAGACAAGAACAGGCGGCCCTTGCGAGGTCTCGGAAAGCTCAAGATCCTGTATCCGCTTTTGCTGAGCTCTTCTTCGCTTTCCAGGATGTTATGGGCCGGACTGCCTGCGGCGAGGAGGTCCTTTTCGGGACAGATTACTGGGAAGAGAGCGAGCAGAACATCGACTTGTGGATGGGATGCAGCCCGGAACTTGTGTCAATTTTATCCTCCATCACCGAGCTTAGCCGGACGAGACGACAGCTCACGTCTGATTCCGCTCGGGCTGCATTCGCCCTTCGCGCAGCATCTCTGGGACGTAGGCTGGAGACTCTCGTACAAGAGATCGATGACGACGAAGACGAATCGCTCCAGTCAGCTGCGGAGCTCAAACGCTTGGCTGCAGTGCTCTATCTTCATTGTGCATTGTACGGCTCCTCACCATCAACCCCGGTGGTCATTGGCTACGTGAAACGGATTCTGCGGCTGGTCTCGGAATTACTCGATTCTGGATCCCTGGTGAGCATGACATGGCCGGTATTTGTGGCCGCGGTGGAACTGGACCCAGTTCGCGACGAACTATGGTCTGATCCTACGAGTAAGACTGTGGTCTGTGGACGATCGCTAGTTCTACGAGCACTGGCAGCGATGGCTGAATCAAGCGTGTCGAATGTCGCCCGCACACGGGCTGTCATTGTCAAGGTCTGGCAAGCTCGGGATAGTGACATGCTGAAAGGCTCGCCTGTGGAGGGGGCAAATGATCCCACGAGCTGCAATGACTGGGAGTGGTATGTGGCCCCAGTCAGTACAGCCATGAGTCTGGCGTGAATTATGTTTGTATATGACGCAATGAGACATGTGTCGGCTATTGATTCTCTTTTTTCCTCTTCTCTGTATCTAAAGTTATCATATGGAATTCACAAGTCAGCTTTCTGGGTGTTATTGCTCTACAGTTATATTCTAGAATGAATGAATTCTGATCTTGCATATTAAGGCGATGAGAGACCGGTTCGTGTCAATTGGCTGCAAATGCCTTGCTTGAATGCTTTTTTTGTCGCATTCGTATCATGTCTATTGACGCAGCCAACAATTGCGGCCGATCCGCAAGCGGGGCACGAGTTAGCGTGATTCGCCCGAGCAGTCAAGGAACGTCAGCGCGACCAGCCAGACAAGACGAGGGCCCAGCGCTTATCGACAATCATCTCAACGTTTCCTCCCTTCAAGCACTCGAACTGCATTCTTCTCGACCATCACAGTCGATATTACACTGATTTTGAAGGTAGCAGGACCTATCTCCCTCTCACCGTGCAAGTAGTCGAGCAACAACACTACACAGGCGAACAGACACAGAACTCTTGATTCCTTACTACCAGCGCTTCGAGCCTTCATGATGTTTCTTCGAATCTGAGCATCGAGCGTGATCTCGACGCGTATTCAAAATCATCTCAATGTCCAAATTGACGTCGTCCGCCCCTCCTTCGACTCTGTCGCACAGTCTCCCCGCTCTACCGTTTGCGAGTAGACTGAGCGAGCAGTTGTCACAGAGCAAGGAGCAAAGTGAATCCAGCACCGACACAGACTCCACAGGAGGCAGGACAAGTCACCTTGGAACTCCACTGCGTCCTTCACAAAAGTCCCGTTCGCTGTCCGATGCGCCAAAACCTGTGTCCGCCTCGCCGTCTGTCTCGGGAGACGCGCGCCCCTCCAGCAAAGATGACAACTCCATCACCTCCACTCCCGAAACCCCACAGCGGCCGTCCATACACTACTCGAACCTGTCTTTGAACTTACCGTCAAAGCTAGCCGGGTCTGCATCCGTACCGAATCGCGCCCCGCTCTCTCCCAAGCTTGACTCGTCGCACATCTACGGCTCCCCAGGCTCGGTACTCCCTCGACGCTCACGAGGTCTCGATTTTTCCCGAGCATGCACGAATCTACACCACTCGATCATTGCGGAGTCTTCGCCTGATTCGTCGCCGACGGTCGGCGGCCGGGGCGTCACCATCCCGCAACGGCGTGGCTCGCCAGGGTCAACCTCCATGGGTCCTTTCTCGACGTCAGGCCCGGCCGACCGAACCGCGATCTCGAGTTCCGTGTCCAGCGTGAACATGATGGAATCTGATACAAGCAGTAGCGAGGAGGATGACGAGCCGATGATAGGCGATCGGGATGATATCATGATAGCCACCCCCCAGGCGAACAAGATGCTCGGTGGGCCAAGCCCGTTTGCTGCGGGAAACGTTCCTAGTCCGGGAAACGATTGGATGGGTGGGTATTCACAGGCGGCAGCTAGCCTGTTGAGCTTTCAGCGGGCCCGATTTCGCAAAGGGCGTAGCAGACACAGCTCCAGCAGTGCCAGTGGAAATAGCTCGAAGCAGAGTCCGGGTCCTCTCTCTCCACCGGTGATGAAAAGCATTGAGAATCCTAGCGGTGGCTATTTCGGATCGAAACAAGGCGTCGGGCCCCGGCGTGAGAGTCTCAGCCTTGGGACTCGCGATCTGCGCTTGTCGGATCTGAGTGATGAGGGCGAGAGTAGGGGTCAGAGCTCGGCTGGTGGTTCTGCTTCTGAAGGTGGGCCTCTGGGTGTGATTCGGCGCGTCGTGACTCGACGTGGAAGCTTACTCGTGAGTGTACTGCTTGAGGCAATGATCAAAGCTAACCATGTCTCCAGCCTAAAACAAAGACATTTGCACGCATCAGAGCTGCCCTCATGGAGGAATCTGCTCCTATTGACAGCGAAGCCAAGCGTGAGGCGGAGGTTATCCGGCAGGTTCGTGAGAGCGAACCTGATGTTCCGCACACGTCACCAAGCCTGGACGCCTTGTCGTCCCTCACTCCTTCAGGGCCAGGGGTGAGCGCGGAAGAGGGACCTACGAAGGCAGGCTCATTTATCCTGGACGAGCCCAAGTTCAGCGATGAAGCTCATCGAAACTCTGCGGGGGCAGAGTTCTGGAATACATTTGATGAGCGTTACCGCACACCACCGCCCTCTATGCGCCCATTGGGGCCGTCATCCATGTCTGAGGACGATATTGCGATGGATATCACGCCGTCGACCACCCTAGGGTCTAGCACAGCTGAGTTCGCTAAACCGTACGATCGACCGGGATCGAGAAGCTCAACGCCACATGCAAGCTTTCCTGCCATGAGCGAGATCAATCGGAAGCGACGCCGGGAAGATGACTTTGATCCCAATCTTTTCAAGCGGAGAGCCGTGTCTCCTAGCATGAGTGTCCAGAGTAGTCCTGTCATGCCGAATTCGCCCGCGGTCAAGGATACAGGGCACAACATCTGGGGTCCCCCGCCCAAGTCTAACCTAGGCTCGCTATTCCCAGATCGGCCCAACGGAGAGTATCCTGCCAGAAATACGCCCAATACCTCGCACTCTGGACCTCTAAAGCGCGTTGGTCTACAGGGTATGACTGAAGCCAATGATGGTTTCATGAATATGAGCATTGAATAAATGTTCTGCCTGGGGCTGAGCTGGGAATACTCCTGACTCTTGCAACCACGAGCCGGACTCGTATATACAATATAATCTCTAGTTAAAACTTCTTGTTGGCTCTTCAGCGTGGTGCATTTGTACTTCAAATGGCGCACACACTCCTTTACTCGGCGTTGAGAGGAATTTGGACCACATTGGCGTTAACCTAGTACTTAGCTTGAACATTGAACATCTTTAATCTTAATCTTCTATCAATTGAAATGATATGGTTCCCGGAGCATTCTCAATGATGCAGTTATAGTCCAAGATAGCCGCAGTCTCCTTCGCCCAGGCCACGTGCAAGATAGTGGCTTATCGCGCTAGAGCTCCGTCTCCGTTGACAAGCAATTGAGCTGTGGTCAGGGCTATCCTTGTTTACATCTTCTTGCTGCTGTCCTCTCTGATTTTTTCGTGTTTATTTCTGCTCTGAATCAGACATATTAGGCACTAAACCTAGAATCAGCTAATACTCAAGTCGAAATTGCCGTGATGGCTTCCACAGTTGAGCTCGCATCCTCGTTCATCGAGGGTGCCCCGCCAGGCGAGGTACGCCTACAATTCCTCCTATTGAACACCTACGTGTTTGTTTCCCTCATCGAGCATGCAAAACTAATCAAACAATTCTAGCTCTCTGATGTCGTTGCTGGTATTTCCTCCTGCATTCCCCTGTCCGCAGAACTTCCCCGCAATCCCCAGGCCCAGCTGTATTCAACACTGATCAGGTCGTCTGACTGAATCACCTCGTGCACGACAGATATCAAAACACTTACCTCGGACCAATCGGACATTATTCCCTCGCTTGCGCCTGCGTTTGAACGGTACAATGAGAAGCAATTGGCTACTGTGAAGCTGCCCGGAGCTAGTCAGGAGGTTAGTCAACGCTGCGTACAACGTTCGAGGGACTATGTTCTGACAAGGTGATCGGGCTCAGGTCATCATCAGTGAATTCAACAAGTTAGAGGGAAATCGATACTTTGATGTTGACAGTCAGACGTCGTTTGAGGTGGATCATGTAACACAGGTAGGTTTGGTGGTGGAATGAGGGGCGTGTGGAGGCTGATTAGATCAAAGCAAGCGTCTGGTGCGCAATCCTATGTTCTGGAATCGCAAAATGCGGATTTGATGTGAGTTGTCATGTCCCTCTGGAGGTTCCCTTAGGGTCTAACGAGTGCAGCAAATCGCTCCTCAAATCGCTCGCCAAGCATGCCGCGGAACACTACCCCAACTGCTCCTACGGCGTCTACCCTACTGAGGACGACACGGCTGTCGCGATTCTACTTGTTGCAAATCGCTACTCGCCAAACAACTTCTGGTCAGTGTACCAGCTGACACTTGGAAACATGCATGGGCTAATGAGGCACGCACTGTAGGAACGGTCGCTTCCGCTCGATCTACCAAGTCCCCGTGTCCGAGTCGACCACCGTCAGCGGCAAGATCCTCGTGGACGTGCATTACTACGAAGACGGCAATGTGGCCCTCAACACAAACAAGACCATCAATATCTCCATTCCCTCGATCTCTGCTGAGAGCATCATCTCCCGCATTGCGGCTGCGGAGCGAGACTATCAGGAGGAGCTCAACCGTGCGTTCGTACAAATGGCGGAGGGCGCGTTCAAGAATCTGCGGAGACAATTGCCCATTACCCGGCAGAAGGTGGAGTGGGAGAAGGTTGGAGGGTACCGGTTGGGACAGGATATTTCTGGTGGAAAGGGGCGGTAGATTGTTGATAGGATGTACAGATGCTCGAGGGGCTGCGATTGTCTGGTCGAACGATGTGTAGATGATCATTTGACATAGTTTTGCTGAAGCGGCGAACCAGGACTTTGCTAGAATGCGTACTGATATTCTTGTACCCTTTTCATAATCGATGCAGTTATCTAGTCGATTGTGGACTGTAGCGCCAAGTCGGCATTTCACGGTGAGAGATGCCGATGCTGTATGGAGACAATTGTCGGTCTGAGATGAGCCGACAAGCTTATCTAGGCCAATTTCACTTCAATAATGTAAACCTGTAAACCTTCCCCCTCAACTCTGATCAGTTGAATCCCATTTCCTGGACAATAACATCACAATGGCAGTGAAAGTCACTCATCCTCCTACCCCTTCAACCCCCTCCGCAATCAAACAATTCTCCAACTTCACACGCACAGCAGCAGGCCTTGAAAAAACCCTCCGACTCATCCAGGCCCTCGCAACCATCGTCATCGAAACCAGCATCGACAACGAAACAGTGACGACCTGGTCAACCGCCAAGTCGCAATTAGCGCTGAGTTAGTCCCTCCATCACAGCCAACGGGCCAACCTGTACTTATGCTGTCTGTCTAGCCCGCCGCTTCTTCCGCTTCTTCAACTTTTTTGATTGTTTCGAGCGGGTGTATGCGCTCCTCGGCAGCAGTAGCAGTAGCAGTAACAGTTCTGCGAGTGGTAGCGGGACAGGCGCTGACGGGTTTCCGACGACGCTGCTTGAGCTCGGTCGGTGGACGTGTTTGGGGCTGTATTTTGTGTTGGAGGATTGTACTATCGTTCGTTTCCTGCCGTCTTTTACTCTTTTGCCGATGGGGATTATGGGGAACTGTACTGATGAGTTGACAGCTCCACGCGATGAACGTCTACCCCGTGCAATGGAACAAGCCCGTTCTCGTTGAGGCCTACAAGTTCTGGTTCTACGCGTTGGCGTTATCGATCGTCGGGGCCTTGTGGGGGTTACTGTTTGGTTCTGCTTCTGGTTCTCCTTCTGCGGGTAAGGTGCAGCAGGATGAGAAGAAGGGCGGAAGTGGCAAGGAGGGAAAGGAAGGAGGGAGAAAAGAGGTGTCTACGGGGCCTCTAGTGAAGCGGATTGTGGTTGATGGCTGTGATTTGTTGATTCCTGGAGTGTTTCTGGGATGGATTCAGGTGAGCGATGTGGTGGTGGGCATGGCAATGGTGGTGAGTACACTCGTCGCGGGGAGAGATGTTTGGGTCAAGGCTCAGCAAGCATAATGGATTGTTGTGGATATGTATTTTGAAGGATATCGTCTGACATATAGAAATCTGGAATTATCGACAATGGAGCATTCAGATGTTCAAAATTGGAGACTGCACTGTCCAACATCGCAGCATGAGAGTTCAGGCTTGTTCGATTCGACAATCTACACAGCCAGTTGAAAAACTTCTTCATGTGTGGTCTTCCATTCTGCTCTGGATTTTGCACAATAGATGATTTTGGCCCCAACCTCCTCCCTTGATCTGCGTCTCGTCGGGCTTGACATCTTGGAATAGACACACCAATGCAGCTGTTGTGTCTAGTGGATCGTGGCTTTGAAATGTGGGCCGTTCTCCACGTCCCAGAATTCATACTCCGACACCAAACTCAAATCAAAGTAGGACCAAATGACCGCTCGATATTCATTCAGGGATAACCCGGCGCTCAGAGACTGTCTCTCTCGTGGCTCCTGAGAGCCGTCTATGTCCGAGATCATGGTCTACGGGCAGTTCGGGTTGCATTCTTTGTAGAAAACGAAAGATCGAGGTTCGTCATCGATCAAACTCTCAGGCCACGAGAAATTACTGAAGATCATCCAGTGTGACGAAGGCAGACCAGCCTGTCAAAACTGCATCAACTACGGAGGAGAATGCCCAGGGTACATCAATCACACAACCCTGCCTCTCATCGTCCACCATGAGAACCAGAAAATCGAGGAAATGGTCGCAGGAGTGTCCAAATCATCTTCAAAGAAGAGAAGAATGGCAAACAGGTCGATAGAATACAACAGCCGTGGATGGCCGGCAAACACGTCCAGTCAGTGGTCAATTCCTAGGTTCCTGATTGAATCGCCGTGGGAATACCGCAGCCATTGCTACTTTCTAGACCAATATACCATGCCTCCAGAGGCCGAGGGAAGCCCTGGCCCTCTTGACTCCATCCCATTGTTGTACTCACTCTGTCAACATGATCTCATGTCTGGCGAGCCGCCTCTTTTCTGCCTCCGGTCGGCTCTCGATGCAGCTACGTACAGCGCCATGGCTAATAAGGCAAAGGTTCCGACTCTGGCGATCGAGGCGCGACGGAAGTATGGTCAGGCATTGATAGAGCTGAATATGGCATTGAGCAGTGTTGAGGATGCCATTCGAACGGAGACATTGGGCGCGATCGTCACGCTCATGATCTTCGAGGATATCAAAAATGAGCGTAACAATTTGCTTAGAACCCGTATCTCGGGTGTGCAGCGTTTGCTGAAATTGCGCGGTCCAAATCAGCTTCTAGATCCCCAAACTCGGTCGCAGTTTCATTTTGCCTTTACTCAGATGGTGAGAAGCCTTGCTACCTGAATGCTGGCGGCTGATATTTTACAGACCATCCAATTTCTGGGCTCAATAACCCCCTCAAGATTGATCTGGACTGGTTGATGGAAATGTTCACGATTCCTCACCCCCTATACGCCATGATGGCCGGCGTGTCCAAGACAGCAGGTTTTGTGTCTCCAATCTTGTCTATCCTGAAGTGGCCGGAGTGTGGAATTACTACCGTGGCGCCAAGGTCATTTCGCAGCAGAATCGGAAAGCTCAACTCTCTCGACAGCAGCAGTCTGAGGGACAAAACCGCACCCACTGGCGACTTTATTGCACTGCAGAGTCCCGAGGAGATCATCGGAACATGGTCACCGAGGTGTGTCAATCCATCCATTCGCCTTGGTACATATCGACCGCTTCGCAACACTATATCCACTTTTGGGCGTAGCGAGACGGGTATCAAAGCCATTCGGGAGTTTGCACTCCTATGGCCAATATTCAATGTCACACAGAATGGGTTCGCGACCAGAAAGCAAGACCGACTGGCTCGGAATAGTTAGGAGGATTGGGTCTGTCGAATGGAATCAGACTGGGGATGGCTTTGGCCGAGGTGACTTCAGTGGTGACATCGATGCTTGATCGGGTTCGTGGTCAATTTCATCAATAGACTCGAAATAACAAGTCAATAATATTCAGCTTCGGATACCGCCTATCATATCTTTTTGACATGGATAATCCAGAGGATACCTGGAAACGACAAGGCCCAAATCCCAATACAAGCATATGAACGGTTGCCCCAGCAGCCGCCATTTCCCCAGAATCAGAGCGAAGGTCCTCCAGGAACAATCCCCACCGCCGTCATGAAAGATCTCAAGAAGCGCAACAAACCCCGCCTTCTTCTGGGACTTTACGCAAGACCCAGACATCCCGACAGCTACCATTACGCCATACTCATAACTCCCAAGATCAGACCGCGGGACAAACTACCCATCCCAGCAACCAAATACCACGTCAAAAATACACTGACGAATACCGAAGCCGGACTCAGTCAGCCATGGCGCTTCGAGCGGTCTTCACTCAAGAATATCCACGACGACCCCCGCATACTTGTTGCAGTTGTCGTCGGGAAGGTTTTGTCAGTGGAGATGGTGGAGGAGGTATTCTGGCGGACGCCAGTTCACCAGTATGATGATCCGGATAGGGACAGGGCATCAGAGTTTGATTGTCGGACTTGGGTGCGATCTGCGCTGGAGAGAGTTCGTGGCTCAGGTGGTGTGTCGGGGTTGATGAAGTGGGAGACGCTTGAAGAGCAGGCATTGAGATATGTCAGGGAGAAAAAGGCCGAGGGGAGATGGACAGCCGGGGGAGGTATTGGACGTGGTGAGATGAGAGTTGCAATGCTGGATCTGTTCGCTAAGAGGGAGATATATGTTTAGTTCCAGCGATGCTATCGTTATGGACAATGAAGGTATATACACAATCTAACAAACACTCATATCTCATCAGAAGCATGACCACCTCGATCTGATCACACAGAATATGAATCCAGCCAGCCCGGAGCTATATCCTCGCCGCCTCATGCCCGGGCGCCTCGAAGATATGCGTTTGCCTCAACTCAAGGTACGGATTCTTCTTCACATTCTCCGACGGTGGTCGCTCCGGGTGCCGCTGCAGGTAGAAAACTTGCTGCGATGTCTGCCATGTCACGTCAGCCCTGCACGGTCAAATCCAGCACAACTGTACGTGGAGACTATCTCACCCTCTTCATCTCCGTCAGCACCTGCCGTCTCCTCCAGCGGCGCTGCATGATCAAGAGGACTACCACGAGGGCGACGGCCAGAGCCCCGAGCGGGATCCCGACCCCAAGTCCAATCTTGAGACTGTTGCTGCTGGTGCTCACCGCTGTTTGGGTCGGCGAAACTGACGATGTAGTCGACGTGGATAGATGCGTTGCTGCCGGTGTTGTCGCAAGAGTGGTCGTGCTTGTACCCGAGACCCCCGGGGCTGATGACGAGGTTGCAGGAACAGTGGCGACAGTAGTGGCTGGGGTGCGCGTGGCTCCGATCGGAGTTAGCAACGAGCTCGTCGCGACGGTATCCAGCGCAACCGACGAGCCTACAAGTTCCGAATACTCGGGTAGGAAATCCGCGATGTGCTGTGTATTGACGCCGGTCGTGCAGTTGCATGCGGGCCCGTCCACGCAGCAGTAGGTGTTTGCCGAGCAGCGAAAGACAGTATTGTGGATGTGATCGCCTGAGCGAATTAGCATGTGCTAACAATCCAATGGAGACGGAGAGAGATACGGAAGAAGCAGTAGCTCGGACAGGCCGGCGAGTTCCAGGTCTTATCGGTGCAGCTGCCGATGACATAGTAGGAGGCGTCGTAGTAGGCGCACATGTTGTTGGTTGCGCAGACGTAGGTGCTTCCTCCGCAGCAGGAGGATTCGGGGTTTTCTGGGAAACATGGTTGGTCATTGATTGCGACTTCGCCGTTGGGGAGGTAGCATGTTCGTGAGGCTTGGACTGGGATCGAGATGGAGGGGAGAAATAACGTCCAGGCAAGCGACCACCGCATGATATCAGCTGCACGAAGTAGAGATGCACGAGAGGAGGTGGAACAGAGAGCCCTCGCGTCGCAGTCAAGACATCGATCTTAGATTTGGTGCGACCATCATGGCGCTGGGGCTTAAATGTATTCTCATGATGACCCTGGCGCTAAGTCTGTAGTGTTGTCCGCGTCGAGAAGCGTGGCTATTCCATACACATAATCAGCACCCAGTCTCTAGGAGGATGATAAATTTGGACATACTTGGCATGACTCCAAGTGGGCTCGTCCAGGGTCTCATCCGGCTTCAATTGGCGATCCGACACGGCAACCCACCAGGCGATCATCACCCATGCGCCTCTAGCGCTGACCCCCGTCAGTGCTGATAAGCATGAACTGACTTCATCTGTAATTGAGATGGGACGAGGATGAAAGAGATGTTTTGTTTTCATGCCGAGATGAGACCGTCTCCTCGCGACAACCGCAGTACAGAATCATAATGTCGGTTCTTGGCGCAGGCTCGCCACTTTCGGATATGGATCATCACAGCGGCAGTGACTGCTTTCCTGCTTGCTTCATTCTATCTATCGACACATCGACCGTCCGCGACAAGTCCTATCTACCGAAATCCAGATAATGTCGTCGCAGATGGCGCAGCTTCATCGGCATCCGCCTCTCCATCATCAACACCAGCACCTCAGCCACACGACAAACCCCCCACTCGAACAGTAGTGATCGCAAAACTCGAAGAAGAAGACGCCTCATGGGTCGACGACCTCGTCCAGACCGACCCCCACCTCACCAGCGCCGTCTACACCGTCGACAACCCCAACGCAACCCTCACCGTCCCCCAAAACAAAGGCCACGAGGTCATGGTCTACCTCACCTACATAATCGACCACTACACCTCGCTCAGCGACGTGACGCTCTTCATGCACGCGCACCAGTACACCTGGCACAACAACGACTTCCTCAACTCCGACTCGGCGCTGCAGGTCCGGCGCCTGCGCAGCGAGTACGTGCTCCGCAGCGGGTACGTCAATCTCCGCTGCCACCTTAGCCCGGGGTGTCCGGATCACATCCACCCGACGGTGGGCGGGGACGATCTGCTGAATATCCCCGAGGCGGCGGTGTTTGGGAATTCGTGGCAGGAGCTGTTCCCTGGGACTCCGGTGCCGAGGGTGCTGTCGCAGCCGTGCTGTGGGCAGTTTGCGGTGAGTGCGGAGCGCATTCGGACGGTGGCCCTGGAGAGGTATGTGGGGTATCGCGAGTGGTTGCTCGCGACGCCGTTGGAGGATAAGCTGTCTGGGCGGGTGTGGGAGTATCTGTGGCAGTGGCTGTTTACGGGGCGGGAGGAGTATTGTCCGGATGAGCAGGTGTGCTATTGTGAGGGGTACGGGGTGTGTTTTGGGGAGGGGGAGTATGAGGAGTATTTCAGGGTGAGGGACGAATCGAGGGAGCTGGAGAGGAGAGTCGAGGAGCTGAAGCAGTCTGCGGAGCCATCTGTCGAGGAGGACATTCGGTCACTGAAGGATCATATCGACGAATTGCATCAGAAGATGAACGCGATCAAGAGCAAAGTCGTCTCATAGACATGTACAGTATTTCGCACATATATACCTCTCTATCCCCCAATGTGTATATATGTATATCTCATGACCGTCTATCGCAAGTCTACTCTATTCTACAAACACATCATCACTGCTGACCCTCCCTCTCCCTCAGCATCTCCTCGATATGCGGGTTCAACCAGTACCCCTGCAACTCCTCCCTCCCCATCGTCTTCGCCCCGGAAATCCACCCCTTACACTTCTCACTCCCGCAGTTACAGTTAAACGCCTGATCCATCTCCCACTCCGAACTGGGATAGAAGAACGTCAACGCATCCCCGACCTTCAACGGCCGCTCGTCCACAACCCGCACCTCCATCTTGTGCATGTCGAAGTTCAGGCTCGGGTCGCATGAGTGGTTGCAAAACACCAGGTCCGAGTTCAGCTCGATGTGGCTGTCCCGGCCGGTCTGGACGGATGTGTAGGCCTTCTTGGAGGGCGTGGCGGTGGTGATCTTGGCCAGGACGGCGCCGGCTGGGAGCGAGACGAGGGAGGAGGCACTGCTGCCGAAGGCTTTGGGGGAGCGGTTGACTTGGATTAGGCCAGGGTGGGTTGGTTGTGGCGTTGATGTCGTGGTGGTTGGGGGGGTGGGTTCTTGCACGGCGATGGGGGCCATTGTGATTGATAGAGTGGTTCAATCGGGTCAATTGTTTGAGAACTGTAAGAGAAATGCTCGAGGAGATCAATTGAGGCGGTAGAGAGTCAATTGGTATGTATATGGTGGTTGTATACAGAAATCAATTCCGAGCGAGGGAGTGAGGTACCCCGCCTACTTATACGAGAGACGAATGTGAATGTGAATGTGGGGTGATCCGATTCCTGCCGCTGTTCCTGGCCATGATGGCATAGTTTGCATCATTTGTTCACTTACTCCATGATCAAGTCCGAGCTAACTCAAAGCAGGTCGTCTGCTCCGTCCATATGTTGTTCCCTTCTACCGAGGAATGCTGTGCAGCGGAAAGATGGAACGTGGTTCTGGTGGACCCGCGCAACGGTCCGATTGAGCTGTTTGCGGTAGTCATCATGCCGAGGTACATTCTTTTCTACGATTCAGAAGCACAGTCATTCAACAAGGTGTTGACATGAGAAGAGGATGTCTGAAGGATTGTGTCAGTTGCCTGATCACAGCATAATTCATCAAATTAATGTTCTTTGACCATTGGTGGTAGAATCACTATCACCGAGGTAATGTACTTGTCCTAGGCACTACGGCTACGGAGACGGAGTACAGAATCAGGCGTCAGCTTGATCCACAATCTTAGGCTTGATTAAGGTTCTGCATCAGCTTGGCATCTGAAAGGACGAATTGGTCGATCCGGTGAGCACCCACATGCGAATCAACTGCTCTAGGAGGTTTCAGATTGACACTACCGGGTGATTTACTCCATCAGGATAGGCATTCTATGGACATTTCCACATGTCATGCAGCTCATGTATGCCAGTGATGCCACTATATACATTACTATTGCAAATTATCAATTCAGTCTGATTTGCAAGTCCTTCCCATCCAACCACCGCTCCAGATTCGCAGCCACCTCCTTATACCACCCATTGATCAGCTCCTCCTCCCCATACCCCATATGCGGCGTCAACAGCACCTCGCTGCGCCCATCAACCCCCCAAGCCGTCGTCCGCCACGGGCTATCAGCAGGTAACGGCTCGGGATCAAACACGTCGAGCGCCGCGCCCCGGATCCGACCCCCATTCAGCGTCTCCAGCAGTGCCTTCTCATCAATCAGCGGACCCCGCGACGTATTCACGATCATGGCGCACGGCCGCAGCGCAGCCAGCTCCTCCGCCCCGATGATCCCCCGACTCCGCTCAGACAGCACATAATGCACGCTGAGCACGTCCGCCCGCCGCAGGAACTCAGCCTTCTCCGGCACCGCCTCGAAGCTCCCCGCCGGCAACCCCTGCGCGGTCGCCTGCTCGTCTGCCTTGGCCTGCGTCAGGTTCGCCGACCACGCGATGACCTTCATCCCGAACGCGAGGATCGCGATCCGCCCGACCTGCGCGCCCAGCTTGCCGAGTCCCAGCAGCGCGAGCGTCTTGCCGGACAAATTGACCCCCAGCGAACCCTGCCATTTCCCCGCCTTGAGGGCTGCGTCGTCGCGCGCGACGTGCCGCGCCAGAGCTAGGATCAGGGCCCAGGTGTGTTGGACGGTGGAGTTGACGCCTGGGGGTCGGCCGACGGTTCCGGCGACGGGGATCCCGCGCGCGGTGAGGGCGGGGAGATCGAGGGATAGATTGCGGTTGCCGGTCGTCAGGAGGAGTTTGAGGTTGGGGAGGGCGGCGATGGTCTCCGCGAAGAAAGGGGTGCGTTCGCGCATGGCGAGGATGGCGTCGAAGGGGCGCAGGCGGGCGATTAGCTGCTGCTGCTGTGCGGGGTCGCGCGGGTCGAGGGTGTCGGGGAAGTGGGAGATGTCCACGCGGGAGGTGAGGTGGGCGAAGTGGCGGGAGGAGATGTTTTGGTAGTCATCGAGGATGGCCAATTTGATTCTGGACATTTTGCAGGTGTGTTGGATCAATTATTGTTTTTTTGAGGGAGCTGATTGAGGTGTTGAAGATATGTTTGTGGTCATGGCTAAGAGTATAGCCGGCAGTCATAATACCCCGCAGTTCGAGCTGGTGATTTTGTTCGTGGTCATGATCTTGAATGGAGCTCAAGGATTGTTCTTCTGAGCGAAGACGTAGTTGAATGTCTGGTTCCATCTTGTTTGTCAGTATGATGAAAGAATAAAGTCGAAGTCGACTCTGTTGACTCAGATAAATGTTCGGCTTGTTGAACCGATGTGGGTGGGCAAGCGAACAACAGAGACATCAAGAGAGACACAAGATACACACGAGATAAAAAAGCAAGATAGACAACAAGATAGACAACAAGATAGACAACAAGATAGACAACAAGATAGACAACAAGATAGACAACAAGATAAACAACAAGATAAACACCTGGTTCGACCACCACTGTTATGGTTGAAAGACAGACAAGAAAGGGTCGAGTAAGTGTCTTTGGTAGAGAAGGAAAAAAGAAAAAGAAAAAGAAAACAGATTGGAACCGCCATGTTCAATAAACATGGACCTGTCGAAACTTTTGTTTCAGCTCGTATGTAGGTGTTATACTCTCCGAAGTATGGTTCCATTTCAAAATTGATGGAATATGGTCTTGCTCTTTTGCTGGATGGTGATAGAGAAGGTGAGGCCAATATTCAGGGTAGTATTGTAGAAAAGTATAAGGCATAATGTATGTATATGCATTGTTATTAACTACATCATATCATCAGAAAATTACACAAAATGCAGATAGATTGCATGGAGGTAAAAATCTTACTGTGGTATCAAAAGCCGTGTTCCCCAGGTTGACATTGGGTCAAGGTGGCCGTAAGTCATCAAGATCGTAGTATCATCTCAATATGAGTACAGTGCGGTGAGCAGGAACTACTGGGACACAGCATGGCTAATTAAAAGTAAGTGTACAGCTGGCTCTGAGCCCCGAGATTGCCGTTCAGCTGCTGAGTAGCAGGGGCATAAATGCCAGAAGAATTCTCGCTGGCACCGCTGGAGGCAGTGTTGGAGACAGAGCCGGAGCCAGAGGCGGGCATGTAATTCTGGGTTGCGAAATATGGTCAACAGTAGGAGGTAGAGGTAGGTAGAGAGCAGGATAGATTTGGAGAAAGAAAGGGAGAGAGGTGTTGTCATGGACTTTTTGAAAATTGGGATTGGGGGAAGGAGGATTCTAGCACTCTAGAGACTTTAGTTAGTATATATCAGTAATTAAAAAGACCATATCACTTACATCTTCTGCCAAAGAACAGTAGGAGAGCTCGTAGTGGTTGATGGTGTGGTTTGAGGAGCTGTGATAGAGTTGGAGGATAGCTGAAGTCAGGGGCGGCGTACTCCTCGCACCGTCCCTTCTTTAGTTTACCGCTGAACCCGTGTCAGACAGTGTATCAGACGTCAGGCTGTTGCGGCGGTTTCGACTTCTGGTTCGGGCCTCGTGCTTGGACATGAGGCGGTCGATACATTGGAGGAGCAGACTTGGGCACGGAGCCAGCAAGTAGTAGCAGAAGGCAAAGGTAGGTAGAGAGTAGACAATTGAGATAGACAGCAAAGATAATGGGAGAAAAGAAACGAGAGGGTTGTTGTCGTGGACTTTCATATGGAAAGCTGAGATCATGGTAGAACAGTATGAAGGCATACTGGCATAACGGCAAGAGGGCAATTTGGTCCCGCAAGACAAAGGGATGACTGGCATAATGCGGCCAAGGGAGGGAATTTGAAGAAAGCCATAGAGAAATGGCATGACCATAGGAAAGGAAAGGAAACTGAGTGAGGACATTGCCATGCAGACATAAGACATGAGATAGTGGTAAACCGGCGAAACTTCTGCTCGGCAAAGGCTGGTGGTGCAGCAATGTCCTGTTCATCGAGATCGTCGAGTTCAATTATATTGACCTGTCTGGGTGTCTTCCTTTTCGAGAAATGCTTGGGGAGATCATTTGAGGTGGTAGAGAGTCAATTGGTATGTATATGGTGATTGCCGGGTTGACAGATGAATCCAATAGGTTGATGCTGTCGGCATCACAGCAAACAAGTCATCTCGATGACAACCGCACGTATTCTCGAACACTTCTCTCCCAAGATCCAAGATCAAAGATCAACGCATGCCAAAAGACATTTCTTGCTGCACGGCGTTGAGTAGAAGGAAGTGTCTGTTGACCCAGCCTCAAGACGGCAAGGAAGAGATCAAAATAACCCCATGTGCCGTCCATTTCTATGTTATTGAAATGAAGTAGATTGTTGGTGTCAGCATGTCAGCCTGCGAATCACGAAATCGATAAATACTAAGTACATTAACCAACCACATCTTGAAAGACGACTGAGGCCATCACATCTCAATCTCCTTCCCATCGAAATTCCGGTACCTCGTCCGCACCAACCACGGCATATGGGCGACCTCACAGATCGTCCTGACCAGCTCATCTCTCACTAGATCATCTTTCCTCCCAGTCCGACGGTACATCTCATCCTCTAAAGCCACCAATGGTCCCCTTTCAGCTTGACCGGGAAGAGAGTTTCCCGGAATCTGACCGGAATACTCGAACGAGGGAATGTTGAATGTGACCGAAACGCAAGGCTCTCTTCCTTCAAACACCGCCAAAACGGCATAATCGTCCGGTGCAACCCCTCCAAATACCAAGTACTCGTCTCGGTGACAAGGTCTGCGTCTGGGATCGTTGTTCTCGTCCCTGTAGCCCAGTGCTTCAGCGACGCGTTCCGCACTGTTAACACCAACGAGGTTCTTGGCTTGAACGGCGACTACGATTACATCTCCTTCATTGTCATTGATCAGCATCTGTCGGCGTTGCATCACGCGACGCCAGGAACTGAAGAACGAGACTAGGCCTGTGTCTGTGCGTTGCCATGCGAGGTGATTGTCGAAATCTTGTCTAGTAGGATGGTTATGGTGGGAGGAGTGTCTTGCGAAGATGCCGCCGTCTCCGAAGCTCCGGTTGTTTTGTGATTCGGCGCGGAAGAGGAAGTACGGTTTGTCGTCGCCGGAAAGGGGATGGAATTGAGGGTCCATATTGATGATTTTGGTGCTTGGAGATGGGAAACGTGAAGCAAATGGACATGAAGCTGATGTGGGGTATCTCAGTAAGTACTTTTGTCTCGGCGCTTACTAGCAGCGACAGGGATTATGTGAATTATTATTGTGCTTCATTATTTTGATACACTATGGTGGGGTTCAAGGGGTCTCAGCGATATTGTACACCAACTTTTCTCCGCTGACCTTGCCCTCTCTCATGAGCTGCAGGCCACTCAGAACACCCTTCAGTCCATCCGGGCACACCTTGGGCCGGTGCACCTTGATCTTGCCCTCTGCCAGCAGCTTCTCAGCAACAGACCAGAACTTACACGCAAACTCAAAATCTTCCGGCTTCGCAGGGAACTCCATCTCGCCGAATTTGAATTTCTCGCCGACGGCAGAGTATCCCAGCGTCCAGCGATCGTTGACATTCTCGCGCTCAATGCCCACAATCAGAAGAGCAGTGTACTCTCCGCCCTCGGTGCTCAGCGCCTCGTCGCAGAACTTGGCACTCGACTCCAACGAGATAGTGTCGAGCACATACTTGAGCTTGTTGTCGGTGGCCTTGCGGATCTCCGCCGCAGCGTTGGGGTCGTTGTAGTCATACACCTCATCGGCACCCAAACTCTTGACGAGCTCAAAGTTGCGCGGCGAGCACGTCGTCAGTACCCGGTAGCCGGACAGCTTGGCGAACTGAATAGCCAGGGTACCCGTGGCAGTCGAACCGCCATAGATCAGGAGGGGCTGGGCATCCTTGATCGGCTCTGTGGGCCAAGACAACTTGAGAGACTGGTACAGCGATTGCCCGACGGTGGTGATCCCCACGCCCAGCGTGGCGGCTTCCTGGAAGCTCAGGTTATCGGGGATGTGGATCTGGACATCGCCCTTGACGAGGATGTACTCGGCAAAAGTGCCGTCCTCGGGCTGCACGGCGTTAGAGCCGTGAGCGAACCCGCAGACTCTGTCGCCCTTCTTGAAGGGCTTCTTGACGTCCTTGCCGACTTCCTCGACGATACCGGCGTAGTCGCAGCCGACTAGCACGCCGGGGGGAGCCAGGTAGTCGATGTGCTTCCAGTCTGTGGGGTTCACGGCCACGCTAACATTCTTGATGAGCATGTAGTCATCGCGCAGCTTGGGAATGGGGTGGTCGGTGACCAAGCTCTCCTTCTTGGGGGCGGTGACGACGATGGCTTTTTGAGTGGACATTTTGATTCTGCTTTAGCGTTGTGGTGTACTGATTCTTAGAATGATCGAGGATGGAAGAATATATATACTGCGAGGTGACGCTGACAAATGCTGAAGAATTGACAGAAGAGGCGGGTGGGCCCAATTACGTAGTGGATCACGGGCGATCGATCACTAATCCTGATTACAAACGGGTTAACAAAGTGTCCGAAGTTCGAACCTTTCAAGGAGATGAAATTTTGTGCCTAGTAGGACGGAGTACTCCGTACCTCTCTAGGAATTGACCATTGAGACATATCTACTACGGTATTCGCCTCCAGTGATTGATAAGCAGCTTATAACCTGGGTGGAATACCTCTCTAATGCGGTAATACCTCGGCATTGCCGGGCGGACTTAAGCAGCGGGATTACCAGCTGACAGCTCTAACCAGGAACAACCTAGTCCCCGCTCTCTCTCTCCCATAGGTGGGGGGGTGCCTTCCTTTTTGGGTTGTGCAGCATCCACTCTTTGATGTGGAGCGTCTACAGAGTATATTCTGCACTTGATGGGAATCTCCAAGATGTCTGCGCCATGCCTTGTGTTTGTAGGCGGTCGAACACCCACTGAGCGACAGCGGTATTATCAATGGTCCCGAGGTCTTTGAGCTCTTGAAAGTCGTGCCTTTGGTTGAGGGAAACTGGCACTCTTTCGTTCGGATGATGTTCTTCATCGACGCCGATGTTAGCCAGAGTCATCGAATGGATCCTTTGTAGTCGAATGTCATATCAAAAGGCTTGGTCCCGTTATCTTCATTTAACGTCCCGATTAATAGCGTCATGGTAATATTATCTCGCCTGCAATTGCCAATATCCTTCCATCTGGGGAGCAAGTGACACGAGGAATGGAATTTTTGATATTATTAATGAACACATTAGTGTCATATACGGTTACTGCCAGAATGGGGTTGGTGTTGTAAGATCATAAATGGATGTGAGCCCATAGATTGGTCTCTAACCTGTAGAAATCTGGAAGGATAAAACAGTCAAAGTGCATGTATTCGTTACTACCTTGATTATCTTGATACTATTGTACAGGAGAGTTTTGGCGTGGGAATTATCTATCTAGATCACTGCCGTACGGTAGTAATATCGATCTAGGCACGATCTTTGAGGCCGTAGATACCTCCGAATGCATGACTGCGATGTAACAAGCTTTTCCGGTTCGAAAACCGAACACCCCCTCAAGCTAGGCCCAAAGCCTTGAAGAATTGATCGAACTTGATGCGGCCGAGCGGCTTGGTCAGTAGATCAACGATCATCTGATTGGATGGAAGTTACTGCAGGTGTATCTGCTTATTGACAATAGTACCGCGTATCCAGTGACAGTTGAGATCGATATGTTTGACCGAGCATGCTACTGCGCGTTCCGTGCAAGGTCCAGGGCAAGCATGCTATCTGTATGGAGCATCATTGGGCGAACACCTTGGAATCTCTCATTTACCAATCAATGAAGAAGTGCGCACACAGAAAAGACCACCAGTAACACCTGTTTCGATTACAAGGCTTGGCCGGCGAGGTTGATTGGTCCGGGAATTTGGAAAAAGGCAGTTATCAGGTTGCTTGCCCCTGCTGCCCTGCATAGAGGGACGAGGGGTGGTCATTCCTCCCCATGTGTACTCTGGCGTGGGATCAAGCGCCATTCTGAGGAAGTCGATCCCGCGGCCGAGATTAAGTGTTGTGGCACCATGAGCGTATGAGGGGAGGACCTTGACGATGCCAATGGAGTTGTCGGAAAAGAACCGATATGGGATTCTGGACAGAGCATCATGAGTTTCATCGTCCAACTGAATACGAGCTGCCTTCGTCATACCCAGTTCTTTCCAAAAAGGTCCCCTCTCTGGACGCCAAGTTGATTTTTTTGACGTTGAAATGGAATCGTGCCAGTTGGTCTGCTCCGTCCCAGTCAGTATTCTTCGCCCTTGGATTGCTGTATTTAAGACCACCATGTGCCTCGCCACTAAGAATCCGTGTCTGAATATCGGCAAGTCCCTTTCCTCGCTCTTTTGCCTTGTCCTTCCCCAAATAGTCGCCCCACGACTCTTTCCACCAAGGCTTCACCATATCCGATTGCAACCATTCCAACGATTCCTTGTCTTACTGTAGGTTAAGTATGTCTTGCAACTCTTTCTTCGTGATCTCAACCTTCTTTCTCGTGGCATTCTTTGCTTCTCTGAGCTCAGGGTAAATATCTTTCAATTTTTGGAGTGTGCCCTTGACCGCTTCCTGGGCCAGTGGTTGGTTGATGCCTTGGACGTTATCCGTGCCCGGTTTCCAGAAAAACTCGAGGAGCCGGCCAGCTCGAGTAGAAAAAGACTTCTTCATCTTCACAGTAAAGAGTAAGTAGTGGTACCTGAAAGGCTTCCAGCATTCCATGTCAGATAAACATCCCGTTTATATCATTGGGCAAGCGCGACCCTTTGCTCACGGCAGGTGGAGGTAGTCCGGTATTAATTGGTCCCTGGGATGAGTTAGTGGCTACAACGTCAGACAATGGGGTTTCAGGAGAACCTACCCTCATCGCTCAAGAGACGAAAGGATGAAAGGAAACAGACGATGTATAAATGCGACCTAGGACAGAAAACAAAGGAGAAGACTCGAGATGAAAGGTGGTGCGAGTGTACGCACGCGAAGCCTAACTGGGCAAAGCTAGGCAAAGCCATGGACATCAACGACGGCCAAGTTGGCCTGTATTCCGTTCATTGTGTTGATAGTCGTTCCAGGCTGGACGATGCGCAGGCGCAGGATGATAGATGGCAGCCAGTGCCGTAGCGCGACGGCGGGAGACCCATACTCTGCCAGCTTCCGTGGATATTGAGGCTTGTTCCGGGCCATTCTCTCAACCAGGGACTAGCTCCTTCTCCACCATAATGAAGTTACGGCACATATTTTCCCCCTCCGCGTGGTAGTTGGAGGGGACGAAAGGATTCCGCGTCTCGCGGCCTTTCTCCACGGGGTATACGAGGAGAAAGGCCTGCTTGGCCAAGTACCCTGGCCGTGCAGCCGCTTGGGTTCTGGGCCTTTCTGAACCTGCATGGAGAATTGAGTACTTGCAATGCTACAATGGGCCACAGGCACTCCGGCCTGACCACGCCAGAGCCGAACTCCGATGGCTCCGCTGTGAGAAAGCCAGTGGTCTTTGGATCAGACTGACTAGATGCCTTTTGATTAATACACAAAGTGTATTGGTCTAGGTCTTCATCAATGTAGTCGATTTTCGGGCTCCAGCCTGCAAGCTCAATTGTGCCAGCAAGTTCTTCCAGGACAACCCGGGCTTCATCATAGTCCTCCTACATAAAATTAGAAGATTCTCTCATTGGGGGATTGCATAATAACATACTTTCGTGCGAATGATCTCCCCCTCACCTGCACCAACCGGGTTCATGCCATTCTCTAGCGTTTTCAGCATAGAGAGTTTCAACAGACGATACTGAATCATTGCCCCAAACACCTCACCCTCCTGGGTGAGGATGTCCTTGACCTTTTTCGTCTATAACGCAGGAGTTCGCTTCAATGTGGAATTCTCTTTGAAATTTGCATCTGCGATGAGGAACCCCCAATCCTGATTATCGGCCATATTAATCTCCAGCCCAAGGTTTCCATAATGAAACCGAGTGATTGTCTGACGGCCCCTATAAAGTGACCAGTCCCCATTTCGTTACCAAAGTTGAAATACTCGGGTGGGATTAGGGGCTGAAGTTGGGACGATAAGAATGTTGAGGGGAAGAGGAAGACTCAAAGGAAATGAGAACCTCGCTAGCTTTGGCAAAGATCTTGCTCAGTTCGAGACCTGCAGCAATTATGTCTTTAGCATAGTCACAGTTTGCCTCATGGCGTCAGAATGGCACATGCTGATCACCATGTCGCTGACAAGGGCCTTATAGCCGAGTCGATGAGGTTGGCTTCTTCAAAAAGTGCCGTATGTCAAGGTGATCATGTCATCAAATGCTTTCAGGACCCTGCAGACCATTCCTTTCTTTTCAAATCCGGTTGGTTGACGCATAAGAATAGTGTATTTCTCTAGGTAAGCGTGCCGATAGGCTGTAACCATATCAACCTGCTCCTCTTCCAGATTGCGTATCGCGATGAGGGTAGGCAAGAAGTTGATCATCACCTCGATCACCATTCACCACCGGTCCGTAGACGGTATCGTAATCTAACCCCGGGCGTTGGTGATTGCCCTTCATCAAGCGCTGTAAACGATGTTTGAGGAGGATAATCCTCAAGGCAGTGCATCTCTTCCCGAATTCGAGGACACTTAACGAAGATGCCCCATTGAGTAACTCATCAGCATCTCCCCATCAGGGAACCTGAGGCGGATTAAGACTAGGGTATCAGCCCCTCCAAGTGCAAGGACAAAAGTCGTAGGGTGGACGGAATTTGTTGTTATGAACACATTCATTGTGGCCGTGGAAAATTCTGTGCGCACCAATTTCTGCGTGTAACGCATCGAGCTTCACGCCACGCCTCTTGCAGACTGGATGATCTGGGGATCTTGAAGCAGGACGGTCTATACCGGTCATTGTTGGATAATTAACATTTCCACCTCAATCGTCTTCCGCAGCCGTGACTGAAAGAGTGACAAAAAAGGAAAGAATGAAGGAGAAAAGAAGTCCAAACCAACTGGGCCGGGCGCCTCTGATACTTGGCCGGATCCAAATCGATGCTCGTCCAAACAAGAAGACTCTTCCGCATCATTAGGGCCATTTCATCTCTGTTCTGCTGCGTTTGAAATTCGTCACTAATGCCAATCTATCCTCTTTCGGAGCAGGTGTATTGCAAGTCAAGTCAATTTCATAAGAAAGCAGAGAAAAGGAACTGCTTGACTTCGATGCCTTTCTTGATCTAAATCTCTAAGAGAAGAGAGATAGTGGGATGGCAGATGCCCTAGCCGACAGCCCAAGCAGCTGGAATAATGCATGGGCCGTCTGACCAGAGCAACCGCCCACAGGACAATTTGTTTCTTGTCGCTGACTGAGAATGTATGAATCGTAACCCTTGCCGAATAACCCAATTCGGCCAAAACATGAAGGATTTCATACCATGCGGGTAATGAGGACTGGGTGTATTGTGAAGAGCACATAATGCCATACTAGCTGAGCAAACTTAGGCACCCTCCTCTCTGACGTTGCTCGCCAAACTATCTAGGGCAGGGGAGGTCGGACTTCAGCGGACTTTTCGACCCCAAAACACTCGACGACGAGCATCGATCGGCTTCGGTACGCCCTCTCTGTCTTGAGCCTCAAAATGAGTGCTATGGAAAAGTGTTGCTGCTCCATATATCCGATGCGGCTGTCGAAAGGTTTGCAAACTTTCGCTGGTCATGGCGGAACCAAAATGTCTCCGATGTCTAAGTTCAAGAAGTATATTGACCAAAACGTCAATAGTACTTCATATGTCAGGGTAGGTAGAGGCAGCATACTTGGTGATGTCCGATCCCATTGGGATATAACGTCTGACGAAACGCTGGCATAGTTGGGGAATTCCCCCCACAATACCTTCTTCAGGTCGAATTCTGACAAGGGTCTCGGGCCCGTTCCCTTCTCGAAATATATAGTATTGCCCGGAAAGACATTCCAAGGTTCCCGATTTGTACCCTTCTAATACGGGAGCAGCATTCGTAGCACGCTCCCCTATTATTGAACTCCCCAGGAGACGCTCGAGCTCGTCAATCCTGCGTTCCAGAGGCAATTTGCTCTGCTTTCTGCTCAGTCGAGGCCTCCCATCGAGAGCGCGATGACCTGATCTTTGGTACTCGATGTATTCCTGGGAAGGTTCCGGAAAATAGATGACTATTGATTCCTCAGCGTGGATAAGCAGGTTGTATTCTCGCGAGACCTGCAAGGGAACAACCGGAATTTGTTCTTGGTACTCTTTCCAGTCTGCGTCATGTCACAACTATTTGAAAAGGGTTAGCTATGCACAGAATAAGTGGAATGCATGGGTCCTACCATGATCTGGGAAAAGTGTAGGAAATGGCCAGGCGTTTCGTTCCGTGTAGATTCTCATTACCACTCGTGCCGTCTCGTCGTCGGTGACCTTCACGCCAACAGAAAAATCAGGAGGGTATCTAGTCGAACACTGATATTTGTTGGCCGGCTGACTTCTTCGCTCTCTCCAATATGTCCAACATCCCTGTTTTCGTCGGAGTCGCGTCTCAAAATCGTAAAGTGATGGACATGTTCGCCATGTACTCTTGAGTCTGATGTCCGCGACTACCAGAATTGCTGCTAGCTTTTGCTTCCAATCCAAACTCGGAGAACGACTTGGAGGGAAAGATCTCGCGAAGCTGGCCCAGATCGTGTGGTCGTCCTTCCTGCCCTGCGAGGTCACGGACCTGTCCCTGACGCTGGCTGGAACCGACTCCGTCATCACGTCCTCGGACAGCCATTGGTTCACGCGGAGATTGACAGCAGATGTGCTTGACCTGCGAGCCCTTCTTCCGCTGTTGTTTTCCGTGAGATTCTAAAGAGATTACAAGTCTGCAGCGACCCACATAGCATCAGCTTGTTGTACCAACTCACGGAGACCTTGAACTAGCATGATTATGCTCATCCTTCAGGCGAATGACAGTGGAACAAACGTTCTGTCACGCTCTCTTGCATTTGGACGGCGGTCAGGTTCAAGAACCGAAGGTTTGGCTTTACCTCAGGAATTGAGAGAAATTCCTCTGGCTCGAGCGGGCCATACCATCCATAATTGTGATGTAAGTGTTTTCAGCAAACTCTGGCACACACCGGACAGGGTGATGGCACTCTCCTGCAATAGACCCCTTAGCCAAAACTCAAACCAATATGAAGGAAGACTTAGATTCAGGTCTGTTGGATTGCCCAAGTGGCAGAGACCGCAATTCTCAAGGGTAAGACGAAGGCATATTGGATTAGGTGGTTGTATTGTATGTGCCCGAACGCGAATTTGCTGGGACAATGCTGTTTCCACAATCCAGGATCGTCCCAGCAGAGCATACCCAGCAGAGCATCCGCTATCTGGTTTGGGGGCATAAGGAAAACTGTCTCCATGGGCTCAGGATAGGATACTGTAGTTGCACCCCATCCGGCCAGGTCTCCAGAGACGCTAACGCGTGGAAGTTCTTCTGAAGCCTTGACAAAAGCCCACCTCTAGATCTCGTCCGATTGTCGAGACGCATATTCACAGAGAGGATATTGCCCATGTGCATCAGTTAGATACATGCGACGAGGTGACATCAGAGCCATGGTGGGACATTGGTGGCGGACTTGCGCGCACCATCAACACGGGCATCATCGATATTCAATGTCTGAAAAACCGAGATATTAGGGCGCAATTCATAGGCAGGCAAGGAAGGATTTCCTTAAAGCTTGGTTTATCCGGGGTTATGTGTACCTTCCCGACCGAGAATTCTCCAAGAAGAATCTCGAAAAAGGCGAGCAGTGATGCGCGATCCTTGCCCAGCGTCTTTGGCAAGGTCAGACCACGATGATTGACGGTTGACCTAACATTGGCTTTACCGAGAAAATGAGTAAAAAACCCCATAAATGTTGCGAAACATGCAGGGCTTTCTCATCTCGCCGTCCCACATCCCTTTCACGACACACCACGTCTCGAGCATCGCAAGCTATTCAAATCAGACCTCGGTAAAAGCGAGAATTGGAGTGATCAGCATTAGGAAAAACCGAGAAACGTAACTACATACATCGTACCGACACCAATACGGGCAGTGGTGTGGTAGGGAGGGAAAAATCCCTTTCATAGTCAGCTAGGGCCCATCACCTAGCGCGGCGCGTGACGCGTGACACCTTCTGATGCTCGCAATTCATCATGGGCTGTCGAATTAGGCAATCACGGGGGACCTCCCGGATGATTTGTATTGCAATCTCTTTCTGATAGGAAGGTGGGGATGGCCAGACAGGTAGTCAACTATGAGACAACCTGGTGCTGGGAAGAGTAAAACTGTGTCCAGGTCATCCTCACCCTTTTGTCTTGTTCGGCAAGGTTGATGTGTTTTTCGAATCTGCCAGACTCGGTACGTAGACGGTAGAACTCCTTGCACTGTGCAGGACAGGCATGAGATGGTTCAAGCTAGTATTGGTCAGTCAAAAGTCAGCACAGCTCCGCAAGCGAAAAGTCACAGGTGCAAACCTTCGTATCGATAAAGTACATGTGTAGAGTTATTTTTCCGCTGCTGGCTTCGCGGCGCGTTTCGTTTCGTGTCCTTCTCCGGAACGAAGTGCTTCGGCTTTGGGTGAAGCAGAGCGTTCCCTGCCCGGTAGCCTCGCATCTGAGCAGCACAAAGTGCTCCCTTTTTGCCTGGACTCCTTCTGGTATTGTCTGTTCCATGGCTGTCATATGAGCGGCGTTCGTTGTCAGTACTGCTGAAAGTACAAATGCTAAGCTTTGACGACCGTAGAGGAAGCACATGCCCAGAAGAATGTAGGCACCCTCTGAAAACTTCAAAATCTTCAGGATCCTGAGTCGGAGAACATCGCTGATGAAAAGCCAAAGCGCAGGGAAATGTCTGTCTCGGGTGGCCCTTATCCCCCTGGCTGTTTGTACGTATATCCGCAGATTCAATCGTTCGAAAGCTCTCGAAGCGTGTGATCTTTGTTTGACCCAATAGATGCCTATTGCTTGGGTGCTTTTCCGAATGGAAACGGGCCGAAAGGTACGCGCGGATGCGGACCGTTGGGTATTTCCTCCGCCTAGATCCATGGTAATGGTAGCGATTCCATGACCTTGTGCGGTTGCATCACCTCCGCGAGCTGTCTTGTACCTGTACGGCTCTTCTGCAGAGGTGTACTTGTAATAGTCCATAAGATTAGATCGATCCGGGATAAGCATCTGGCTCGTGCCTGAGTCGTCCAGCCGCTGCGACTTCCGGTCAGGTAGAGAGGCAGCTGCAATGCCTTTAACGAGAGCTGAATATTCCAGTTGAAGTCTCCTTCCAGGACAGCTTCCATGGCTTTCCATATATCCCAGACCACGCTCATATGGATCCCGTCTTCGCTCATTGCGACGCAGGGCCCTGCGCAAGCTACCGTCCATGCAGGTCAACAAAGCTCCCTGAATGCTTTCAGTGACATCAATTGAGATGGGAATCCTAGTGGCTGAAATTGCTGAGTCTTCGAACTTGGAGGTGACAATGCTGTCCTCACCAATTGCGTAAACTCTGGCCCATCCGTTGATTTCCAACAATGAGGAGACCCCGTTGGCCCAGGGCCATGTTCTGCCAGTTCCTGTCGCCGACGCGCACAAGTCCAATTGCCGCCGGAACCAGTAGCAGACACAATGACATAGCATCCGTGCCCATGTCATTAGGTACGGTCAGTGTCGAAGTGTTCCGGTCCATTGCGAAATTTGTGCGGGCGGCTTTGTATTTTGGGAGCCTGGACATGGCGCCCAGAAGTTTTTTATCTTTCTCTGTCTTCGAATTGTCCACCTTTGAATCTGACACTGGGAAGGCGAAACAAGTTATGAACAAACCCTGGAGGTGACTTTCCACATCGTAAATATGAAAGAGCCAGGATCACCTGGCGAGAAGTGATACTTCAACCTAGTTCATCGCACGGATGAGATCTAGGTGATCATCTCGCAGCGCAGCTTATGGTTCCTTGTCAGACAGATAGAGATGAAGCCTCTTGATTCATCCGAAATTGACAACACTGGACAATGACCGTGACACCACTCAGAAGCCCTAGGTTCCTTCCCAGATTTCTTTCTTTTTAGACTGAACGCCATGTGCCGATTGTGCTTCGAAAGCAACAGCGAGGGGCGAAGAAGGTTTTTGTTGTCGTATCATCGGATGATCATGATGTACCACAACGACGGGCCAGAACTGAGTTGCGAGACTGGAAAGCGTCCACCAGACCCCAAGGTTGTCAAGTTGACTCTTCAGCTGTGGCCCCCATCTGCTGGACTGTAAGATCCTCCAGCCGGCGCCGGCCTCCCTGCCTCGTTCCTTATGTCAGGGTAGCTTGGTAGCTTCTCATACTCCAGGTCCCGGGAGGGTATCTTTGGGTAGCTTCTCGTACTCCAGGTCCCGGGTAGCAAACCAGTAGGCTGTTTCATATAGACCACTTCGCTGTTCTGGAATTCTCCCTGCCAGAATGCGAGCTTGATATCGGCCTCGATACAATGATAGCCTAGTATCGCCACCAGCACGAAGAAGAGACGTACGGTAGTCGGCTTTGCGGTGGGAGAGAAGGTCTGGTCGAAGTCAACACCAGGTATCTGAGCGAAGCCTTTGGCTACCCATCTAGCCTTGAAGCGAACGATCTTGTTGTCAGCGCCTATCTTGATCTTGTAAACCCACTCGGGCGATTCGATAGCTTCCTTGAACGAAGAAGGTTCAACGACGTCAGTATGGTCATCTCCTACCTTCGCTCGCTTAGCGGTAGCGGTAGCGACTCGCTTAGCATAAGCCTTTTCATTCACGTATCTCAGTCCCTTTTCCATGAGACGAATGGCTTCCAGTTGATCCGTCTAGGCCGCAAAGGTCTAGGAGTGAACCTTTTACCCGACGGCGTCGTCATCACGCTTCTCGTACTCCAGGTCCCGGGAGGGTATCTTTGGGTAGCTTCTCATACTCCAGGTCCCGGGAGGGTATCTTTCGGCATGCCCCTCTCCATCTTCAGTGCATATATGATGACACAGAAATGATTATGGCAGTCGTCTGAAACCATCTCTTATTCGTGCATCGGAAGCGGGTTGCGAATGCCAGAAATCGATTCAGTCGCCATTCGAAGGACGACATGATAAGCGAGTTTGTCGAGAATCTTCTTGCAGGTGCATACTTCTTGAAGGAGAAATGTATACAGACGAGATTATTGTTGATTTTGGCTTGTGATAGTTATTCAGGATATCAGTCGATCTGTCTGGAGCGTTCTCGTTGGTGAGAAGGTCCGGACCACATATCCGGGAGGCAGCACTGCCAATGGGACAGGGTGCTCCGAAGCTGATGTGACCTGCTGAGCCGGCTTCGCCATCTTTGTCTGGTGAGAATTTTCAGTCCACAAGCTTGCAATTTTGTGAACTTTGATGGAGAAGGGATGTTTAAAGAAAGGATGAAAGACTGTGTCGATAATGGGGAAGAGTGGAAGAAATAACGGACACTGGAGAAGAGCCTGTAGTAGTACAGCATCTTCGTTCGCGGTGTGATGCGAATGCCTTATGGGCTCGATTGACGAAGTAACTGGAGGTAGATCTTCAGTCAGCAAGCCTATCATCAAATAGGGCGCATTCATCTCACCATCGCGCAATATAAGTAATATAGGCATCGTCGTCCAGACCGCTGGATGTGTACATGGGCAGAATCGGCAGCTTTGATCCTGTAACAAGACTCCCATATGTCTGCATGTGTCGACTGGATTTCAGGCATCCTAATGAATGTAGAACCAGAGACCGCTCGCGGGCCGCTCCGAAGTTCGACTGCGACGGTAGATAGAAGTGTGGAACCAAATGTCAAGATATCTCACACACGCTGGTAGAACAGTTCGCGGAGATTGGGAGTTTTGCTATCTTTCTGGACTTGTGAGTCGCCAGGTTGAGATATGTTGAGCGAAATCTTCTAAGTCTGCAAAGTCCCCCTTAATCGGACGCCTTATTGATTAGCTATACATCCAGTGATTTGAATGTGGACTCATGTACTTACCTTTGGTCACTTAATTGGGACGGATTTGATGTATTGCTCCTCATCCACTGTACAACCTCTGCTGTTTCCTGCATCTGTACTGCCTCACATTCGAGTAATAAGTGACCATGCAAAAGCTGAAGAACGCAATGGGACGCCAGTCATCACGGAACACAAGCAGAACGATGGTGATATTTTCCTAGTCCACGAAGTGATGCCAGGTCAGATATGCTCACATGACTTTTCAAATGCTAGTGGAATCAACATACTCACAAGGACATCGTGCGTTGAGTTTTGAGAGCTCCTCACTCTTTGCAATGGTTCGTACAAAGACGACGAAGGGATCTTTGCCTTCGACCTTGCTTTCGCAGTCCGTTAGTCTCTCGTCAGAGCTACATTATTGGTGCAGCTGGGAGGGCTGTTCCAGCTATGGCCATATTGTCCTCTCTCCCGCGGCAACGTGACGATCCCACGGCACTATGAGAAGTTGAAAGACAGAGACAAGTCCGGTGGTATGTACGATCTTGTGGGCGAGATGACCAGCAGACAGTATTTGAGCAGGACAGTTGGAGTGCCACAGATTGTCAGCACAGAACAGCCTTCGTTACTTGCTGCTTGTCATTCTGTAATGACGGTGTACCTGTCGGTGGCTTCGATGAATCGCAAGGCCCAATTCACTCCGACGGGGCCTCCTCGATGGCCCCGCGTCGAGTTCGGCCTCCCAATTCCGGCGGTCAACTCTCCATTGTATCATCTGTAGGTTGATGTCTTGCTGCAGCTTAGGGAGGTCGCCCAGGAGGTTCTCCATTGCTATCTTGGCGGCCTTGAGCTGGCTTTTCTTGGATTGGAATTCAGTTGTCAATTCCCACTGTGTGGTCTTGAGAGGTTTCCCGCTGGAATCGCAGACTTGTACCCAAGGGCTGCTAGTGCGAAATTTAAGAAACGCGGTGGTGTGGTTGAATCTCACCCAGAACTCATTGTCGTCCCAGTTGTGAGGCATCCCCGTAATGATGCCCGCAGGGAGCATCGGCATCGTAGGTTGAGCGAACTTGGGAACTACCGGTGGTGGCTTCTCGATCTTTGAGAGATTAAGTTTGACCTGACAGCTTTGAGGTAGGAAAAACCAGATGGAGTATTCGTTCGTCGCAGCTAAGGGTCCCTTCTGTTCACGGACTTGCTTGAGTTTCTTCACCTTTTCTTCTGTAGCTTTAATCGGGAATGAACCTTGAGTATGGACAGAACCGCTCTGGTCCTCCTGGACCGCACCACACCGTCGACATACCGGTGAAGGAGTTGGTGTCGAACTTCGGCATAAATCGCGCGCGGGTGATAGTGCATTCAAGACTTGGCGACCTCCTCTGTTGATGAGTTCTTGTATAAGAACCACGTGGGCGTTCACGATTGCTTCATCTGGGGTGTTCAGGTACTGTTCCAGGTTGGTTGCAGGAGCCGAACCCTCTATCATACTCCTTAGTCCCTCACCAAAACTTTCCGTCCGAGGGTCACTGCTCTCTTCGCGGTAGCGCCAATCGATCCTCCATGGGACAAAGGTCTCTCGATAGACGAAGAAATTTCAAAACACCAGCCACTTTGATATGCCTTGTGATATAAGGAACATGAGCAAGATGGAGAAGGTTTTATAGCCAAAGCTTGCTTGCTCCTAAAGAAGTCGGAAAGGTGAAGACTTCAATAATCCATGGCACGGCTGGGCTTCGAGCTTGACTCGCATGGTCGAAGTTCAATTTGAATTGGTAGTCGTATGCAAAAACATCCCCACGCCATCTTCGAATCCATAATCCTCAGCTTGAAGAGAGCATGGCTTCTGGTAAATATGGATTGCTCTGGAGCGGTATCACGCATCAGCTAGCTAGCTGTCTGATGTTCAGGAGGGGTCGCTTCTCTCCGGCTCGCCGACATTTTAATAGGTCGTAGAAGTGCACCGAAAGGTCGCCAGGTCGTGAAATTTCACATTTGGCATGCAGCAAAGAGACTGGGGTGCCTGTTTTGTCGATGTGATGGTGATTCGACGGGACAGGATACGGTATGCATGTCATCTCGTTCACTCTGGGCGGTAGATGACTGATTTTCCTAACGAGGCATGAGTAAGAAGCAGTCCACATTGGGCCAGATTAAACCCTTACCACCTGAAGAGACCGAGCTCATCGAAGGCCGTTGGTTTTTGGGAAACGCGGAGCTCCGAACCTGATGCCACGGTCTCGCTGATTCATTTCATCAGGAGTGCTGGCATCAATGCGGTAAGCACCTGATGTATTGGTTTCCCACGCCTCTTTTGTCTTTCGAATTCGTAAAAACGGGTCTTCTGAATCCATGATTGATGGAATGCCGGAATGGTGTATGCCAACTTCCTCGCCATCTCGCCAAGCTCCCGTCAGTTTGAGTACTGCAATGGGGTGCCGTCATAAGGCAGAAATCCGATGGGTTGGATGAGTATCTAGACGGAAAGTATTGGAGTGTATCATCGACATCAGGAACAAATGTGCATACCTCATTTAAATGCAACCTATGTCCCAGTAAGGAATCAAACTGAAAACTAGAACAATGGACCAATTGCCCCCGTTGCAAGACAACCGTCGCAGCCGCAACTCGGAAGGAGAGATCATACCTCCCGCATGATCATGGGATTAACATTCAGAATTGATCGGATTCAAAAAATCGTATCACCCAGTGACGAAAGAAGGAGGTGTAGCAACAAATGATTCTTCTGCCCATATGTGCTAGGGGAAGTACGAATATCCAGCCAATAGATGACAGGACAGGTAGAAATTCTTCATACACACAGTATGAGATAGTCCAGAACTGCAATGACAATGCTGCGAACCATTATTGAGGACAAAAAGCGGCTCGCTGTGTCGACACGTCAGGTCAATTCTCTGTCCGAAGGGGCTATTGGTAACTTACCTGGAAAAATGAACAGGATACAGCCCTCTCATTTCTCATATGCTGAGCTAGCTGACAGGAGGGGATTCCAAGCGTACTTCCCCACCCCGGGTGCTCTGTTAGAAGCATTGGAACTGCTATCGGACTTGATAATTGCACGGCGTGGCCGGTTTGCTTAGTTGGGGAAAGAAAGACAATCAAAAATATGAGAAGAGGTAGGCAGAAACAATGCGTTCCGCATAAGTATAACGAGTAATAACGCTCGGTTTCGTCAGAACAGAGGACTGTTGTGAATTTCTATATCAGATACAGAGCTCATGGAGGAATATGAACGACTTACCTGGCTGGTGTATGGTAAAGCGAATGCGGGACAAAGGTGCACGAATCGCCGCGAGCTCGCTATCGGCTGGTAGGAAGACCAGCCTGCCAAATGTGCACCTTCTTTTTCAGGCGCCATGCCTCGACTCTGAACTTCAGCCGCCCAGCAGTGTCTGGGGTGTCTGAGGCTGGTGAAAAGGGTACCTCGCGAGCCTTTTAAACGAAAGTCCTTCCAGGTTTTATCGTCAAACTCCTCTCCCACCTGGTGTAGTCGATAGTGCTCACGGAAGGAGATGAATGCTCCCGGCGTAGACCATGGGGCCGGAATGATGCCGCAGAGTTGCAGCATCCGATAACCAAGGCTCAGCTCGATGTCTTAACCCGATGGTCGGTAACGCCCAGTGGCTGCGCAGTTTGTGCTTGTTGGAAGTCAAACAACATCTGTGCAAGGGCAACCTGCGCAAGGAGGCTGTCATCACGAGTCGAGTGATCTTCCGCGATGATGTGTGGTTGGGCATTGGCGGGCGGGGGACGCTGCTTCTTAGCAGACATCAATAGCAGATCCTGCTCGGTGCTGAGTGCATGACAACGGACGATGATGGCCTCACGGTCAGGAATGAATTGTAAACGAGCTTCCTCAATCCCAACTGCGAGATCATTGACTACCTCGTTCGATGGTGCTAAGAGCATGACTTGATGCGGTCTGCCAGTGTGACGACGCACGGGAATGGGGGTGTGACGTCGCTGAGGAGGTATGGGGCTGGTCAGCATCAGCAGCTGAACGGATTTCATCGAAGGCATGAATGAACTGCCCAGCGACACACGGTGCCATGCCATTTGTATTGGTTCCACTCATGATCGATGCCGAATTCGTGGGCGGCTTTCGAGATGGCCTTGTTCAGCGATGGAAGGAGTAGGCACTATGAATGACTCAGATACGTGTCGTTTCCAAGGAACAGGTATTGTACCTACCGAAGACAGAGTCGTCGACATGTCAGGCGATGGCTTTTATTTCAAATCCGACAAGGGAGGACCTTGCAAGGAACATCATCGCCCAAGTCAGCTGAGGAGAGCGGGTTGCCTGAGAGCCTCTTGCATGAGTTCATATGTTCTCTGTACTTTGCGGCAATGATCGAACGGCTCATGGCGGACATGTGTATGCGCAAAACAGCTCAGGAGTTTGACCGGAGAGAAGCGTAGGAATCAGAATGTACTGCTAAGTTTCAGTCAGGTCGCCGAGGCAGTCGTGAGCAAGTGCACCACGAAGCTGTGCCTGGATGTTATTCGAATAAATCTGTCAAGTTGCACCAGTCCGGTCACCTTGATTAAGGTTGATTCATTCCTCAAAGAACTTCAAATGTCAATCTCCGACGTTACAGGTAAGAGACAAAGCTCAAATGGGGATCTTGGAGAGTGGTTTACCTAAAACGATCGAATGTCATCTGAAAATGAGGTTGAATTGGTGGGTGAGCCCAGCCTCTCCAATGCCAATGTTCGAGTTTGGTATCTATCCAGCCGTTAGTGTCTTTCATTGAATGGATTGTAGTACAGGAGCTGTACAGAGGAGTAATCCAGCCGGTAGTCATCTAAACGCACAAACACCAGGCGCAGCAATTGTGCTAGTCCATTTCCACCGAGACATAGCATCATTGGCTAAGTTTGAGCGTATCCTCCGACTCACTGGGCACTTCAACGACTGTCTCAAGGTATATTTTGCCACAGAAGCAGCAGTGACATGTTGGGGTTCTGGTAGCCAGAGAGATACACAAGAAGGCCATGTGACGTCCGTCTTTCGATTCGAATCCGAGTGCATCTCAGAGATGCGGTCGAAACCGCGTCGTAAGACAGTGTACGTGATATCAGGACGAGTTTTGGTTGATGCTCAGGCGAGAATCGGCTCCGAAGGTTGGAAAGTGCGAATTAGTGTTCTCTCCTGATTTACCTAAACGACATAGTTCAGGTACTTTGATGCAAGCTCCTCTGCGACCTGACTGTGTGTGACAAAAGTTCCGACGGTATGAAAAGATTGCAAGGCCTCTCCTTTTTCTTGCAGGCTCGCCCGAACTCTTTTCACAAAGAATTCAGCCTTTGCCTGAGTCAGATAACCAGTGCGACTTGCACTTAGGCATCTGTAAGATAATTTCTAAGAATTATCTGTTTCTCTTGAACAGAAACGTGCTGGGGACTGAGAATGTCGAGCACTCGTGTCAACGGGAACTTTTCGTCAACAGCCGACGATTCTCCGCAGCACTGAGCGGATGAGGGATGCGAAGATCGATCTGTTCGATTCGCATGTTGGCATTAATATGCATGGTCGTGTGTCAAGTCCCAGACTAGAAATCCGAATGTTGCTAATCTTTCCTCTCAGGGATATTCGATGTGCGGCTGTGCCCGACATCAACCTTCGCGAAGGTGAGATACATCTCGTCAGAGTGCTGGGACAACATCCACTATCTAAAAAATTTGTGTTATCGTATGCTCGGTTACAATGTACATTGAAATGAAGAATATTGACATACCTCCGATTAGGCACTTCAGGAGAAAGGTTGCAGGGTGTTGTCCTGGTGCGTACCACGATATTCATCTTCTTTGAAGAACTTCCATTGTCCTTTCGAATCAGAAGACCGACGTAGACTTCCTCGGAGTGCTGGGACAAAGTCATTTGGGATCACATTGGGCGCTGGTGAGTCCATGATCCCGGGTGGAAGCTCGCAGCGAAAGACTTATCAGGTTATCTGGTTCCTGCCGAAGTTTCCCTCAGGATTGAAGCAACAATTCTTCTTGATGGCGCACGTAGTCATCGCCACTGGTAGATAGGTCCTTTTCCAGTGAACTGTCATGCCCTCCTGATGCAATGAGTAGTCTGTGGAGCATAGTGCAAGTCGGCCAGTAGTTGACGATGTTTTGGGATTGCTGGGGCTGTGGGCTTGTAATTGATGAGTGTGGCGAACGACGAAGAGAGCACATCCTCCGCGTCGGAAGTCTTTGATGTGCTGGGGGTCCGTACAGGCCATTGGTCTCGCAAGGAATGCAACGTCAAAGATCAACCCAGATCGAAAATGAAGTGTTGAAATGGATGGATGTAACTCATAGTAGCAGAGAGACGAATGATTTGCCAATTCCACGGGTCCAGGACGGAAGGTGGTCAAGTCTTCTGAGCCCGGATCTAGTCTGATGCCATGGAATCCCTGCCGTATATCTTCCAAGATTTGGTCAATCAAGGGCAAATGGTAGCGATCTTTCCGGCTGATAGCGTTCAGATTCCGATAATCAACGCAGAATTGTAGCCCCCGGGTTTCTCTGCCATCAGAATCGGAGACGCGAACGGGGCGTTACTCGGGACGATGAACCCTTTGTCTATATATTCCAAGATGTATTTGACCAGAGTGAAGGAGGCTTCATAGTGCTGACCTTCGTTGACATTTCCGCAAGGGTTGTTTGAATCATCCCTTGAGCAAGGCCCGTACAGCAAAAAGCCCAAACCATCACAAGAGTGACATAGCTGCCTCGACGTGAGCATCAATCGACACCGATGCCTTTCGAGCTCTCTGACAGCTTCATATATTTTGCAATCTGTACGTTGTTCAGTCATTGAGCAAGTCGGACTGCAGTCTGAGCAACAATAGAAAAGACTTACGTGGATCCGGCCTTGGCTCGACCGCAACAATGACTGCCAACCATGACAAGTGAGGGCAGCAACGATTGCTGATGCACAGAAGCGCTGACAGCTTGGGAGTTTACCTACCCGAGGATATCGGGAGACTTTTATGGCTCTTGCTTGCCGATGAGGAGTGTTATATATCTTGAAGAACCTTCAATGTCAGCGACTTTGTCCGTCCACCACATCATATCAGCTAGGGGGATCAGCATGCGAATACTTGCCCGTAAGTTACTCCAGAACTGGTGGAGGCCAGCTTGAATTCCCCGGAGCGTACACAAATTAGACCAAGCAGCTTCGCTGACTGGCCGTTCCACGTAACGTCCACCCATGATCGAAAGTTCCACGCTCGCCATGGAGAATGATTGAGGGAACAGTGACATCATGAAAGTGCAAAATTTGATGGAGTAGGATGACTGATTGCCATGCCCCTCGTCAAAAGCAAAGAGGAAGGGCATCGAGGCCTTAATCTCTCCGGAATCTCCTGCAGAGATGAAACCTCGATGGGTGTGGTACAAGAATAGCTTGACCACTTGCAGCCGCTTCGCATGGCGACAATCCACCAGCTGCTCGTGCGGCAACCCAGGCAAGGATCAGCTCTGACGGTTGCTCGTCCGGACCGATCCTTTCCTTATCATGGTCAGAGATGGATAGGAATGCAATCCGTATCCGCCGTCGTCGAATTCATATTCGTAATCATATCCGTATTCGATTGGACTTCCCGAAACTTCACGAGATCGCGATCCCCCGGATGTTCTTCCGCGCTTCTTTTCTGCCTCTTCATTCATCTCATCTAGGAGGCGGCGCGGCGGTTTGCCTGAGAGTGAGCGGTTCGAGAAGACTTTCAATTTGAGTTTGAAGGAGCTTTATTAGCGCGTGTAATCGTTTGGATATGCGAGAGGGGGAACGGGACATTAGGTTGTTTCGGTCCAATGGTGGACCAACAGATAGGGGGCTCGATTTCTCGATCTTCAGTGCAGGGGGTGTGGGGGGAGGGATCATGATCATCTGGTGTATCAGACGGATCACGATATTCGACTCTTCTCCTAGGAGTTTGCGCTGGATTAGGATCTCGAGCAATTGGGTCCGGGGAGACTCTAGAATCATGGACGTATTCCTGTTCCACATGCCGGATATGCGTTTCAGGGCGGTCCAGCCTTTTTCAAACTGTTGGATTTCCTTCTGTAATGGACCCAATCAGGCAGCTCTGTCACTAGGCTCAGTGGACATGTCGTCCACACTAGCAACACTGTCGCTAAGGCGCCGTTGACGTGGGCTCAGCCTAGTGGGCGGATCAATGGGCGAGCAGTCAGTAGACTGATCCCTAAGTCGTATCGTCCGGGCCAGTCCTTGCCACGTCGACGTTGACGGTGTAATACAAAAGCGTGCTCGCAAGCTGCTCTGGGGTTCGATCAAATGCACTTCGTTGCTTGCATTTTTGTAAAAGTCGAAGATGCTTCTCATATGTTTGCCTTTGATGAATTTCGAACCCCTTCTGCATCTTGAAATACTGCCTGTCAAGCAGATCCGCGCAATTCTGAGGCTTGCTGCAATGTAAAATTTGAGGGATGCGGTCAATACGTCTCGGCTTGGACCAAGAAGTCCTCAAAATGCAGCCCTGCAGCATGAGTAGTCGCCTTGCTGCCGTCGTTGGGTCCTGCCACTAGATACGTTAACGAAAGTCTCGAGCCATGAGTAATGCGCACAATGTAGGGGACATAGTGGCTTACCTTCAACTCAAAGAGATACTGTAGCTCTCAACCGGTCCGTCGATGGCATTCGAACCCCAGCAAAAGGACCAGGTAAACTTTTGGAGCTACCAGGAACGCCCCTTGGCTTCGATACTTCCTTGCCTGGAGCGGATCACTTTAACCAAGAAGCATGAAAGCAGAAAGACATGAATCTGAAAAGTCCTCGCTCTTTTCAAGCACGGAGGCGAGTTTGATATTGTTCGGGTTTCTCAATGAGATCTGGCCGAGCAGCATTGTTTCACTCTAGGCAGAAGACAATATTCAGAAAATCAGAGGGACATGCATTGAAGGATATGTCGGCCTTGGGGTCATCCTGTTTCTCAGCAACGCGGTCAGCTTTATTCTCCAACACTATAGTGGAAATCAAGGGAATTACTAGTTCTCATCTGCTGTGCGTCTCACTCGAGCATATAGAACATCTGAAATGGGGTCGTTGATTTTTTTCGCTTACTGCAGCCTTCTTTCAAAGCATATCAGCTCAGCATCTTAGGGTAATGACAGATATGAAAGCGTAAGAAGCGGAACAAAGAATTAATAGAGATGTATGTGATAAAGTCCAAAGAATAAGTAAAGAGAAGATAAGAGAAATGAGATGACAGGCAGCATTAATCAGACTCGCGCGTAAATAGAGGTGAGTAAGAGGAGAAGAAAAGATGAGATGAGGAAGGGCGAGATTGAGTATAAATTCATGGGTGGGGGGCAGCAGATAATAGGCGAGATAGGTCAGAGGCACTATGGATCATCCTAATTAATTCACGTACCCTCAGAAATCCCTTTATATACTTAGAATTAGTGACGTAGCTCATGATCGCTAACTCTGGAAATATTCACGGAATGAGGCTTATAGGAGTCACTTCACGTTCCCTCTATTCAATCCTATTTGCCTCAGTTCCACCCACCCCTGTCCAGCTAGCAGCAGTGAGGTCTGTTTGATGATTATTAAAGACTAATAGACAAATTTTTAGCCTCTTATGTTCAATTCAGCAGATATCAAAAGGTCTTTTTTTGCGAAACACTGAGTAGTTTCACACAATAAGAGGATCCTCCACCCACCAAGCCAGGTATCCCGCCAAATATGAGTCGACTATTCTATGCCCGATAGCTTTCACCACTTGATGATTTTAACATTGAATCCAGACGGCTCCGCTGATTATGCTCAAAGTCAAGACACATTCGCAATGTATCCGTGGGATATCCTGTTGAAAGCAGCAAACACGACAGTGGATTCCCGGGCTCAGTTCGACTGCAAACGCCTGAGCAAAAACAGATGCCCACAGCCGTCATCACCACAATTTGATTGGTGGCAGAAGTTTTCAGCTCGTAGTCTTCACGGCGTCATATAGGTCTCGATCAATGGTACAAAATCCTTGTCAAAGACTACCTGTCCTTGTGTGGAGAGTAGCTCCGTCTGTTTGATTAGATAGTTTGGCATCAGCCTGCGCTAGATAGCAAAGGTTCACATAATGGTATCTCGCAAAAGTGCATGCTGTCGTATTAGTACACTATATAGGAAACATCTTCCTTGGGGCAAGACGCAATTATGGTAGACTGTAGGCACTCAACTGTAGCTGAAGGATTCATTCATAGTTCCCAGGACTATGCATCATTCTATTGATCATTGGTCATGTTAAATTCTAGACTCCTACAATTCTCCCATTTCAACATATAATAGTATTGCCCATTGATATAAACAACCCCCTATGTATATATATATATCAAGAAATCCCAACATACATACCCTTCCAACCCACCATCAAACCTGCCTTATCGATGCCAAATCACATAATTCAAAATCTAGCTCTCTTTCATAACCATTCTCTGACCAGGTAGGTCGTTCGACCTTGGACCGAACCTAAGCCGGATAGAGACAGTACAAACAGATTTTACAAACCCCATTCCGGAAAGTGTCAGACTTGCTAGAGTCTCCAAAGTCTGATTGACTCGTATACTCAAGTAACCCCGTTGAGTCTATTTTAAGTGCAAAGGTTTGGCCACTTCTATTGCCCCAAGCATGATTCCGTGTGTTGTGCGGGCGATGGTGGATACCCATGCTCGCAAGCAATATGATGTCTTCGACGTATCTGCCAGAGCACCTTGCCAGAAATTCAGTTGCTCTGTAGACACGGATCGTAGGCAGAATCTAGTTTATCTTGAACTAACTTCACATACGCCATCTTGCTAGGAACAAAAGTATCCTCCTGGTATCTCGCAAACTGCTGAGGGACTCTGATCGCCAAAGTAGACAGAAGGTGTCAACCACATAACCACTCGACTAAAAAAGGCGTCTAGACAACCATTCCTAGCGTAGTAGAAATAGTAGTGTAATAATTTGTTCAACGGAAGGAAATGGACCCATGCATCCAATAGCTGAAAGTACACCACATGTCTTGATGTGTTGGTGCATGGAAATAGTGACATACATTCCGCTCGGTTTGAGGTACGGTATACTGCCCAAGTCTCAAGATCATAGGGCCAGGCATTGGATCCTGTTGTGCCGGGTTTGCCATGGATCACTGATCAAACTCACGAATTTAGGAGCTGTATGTTGGCAGATTACATTTCTGTTTAGCATAAGATAACTGCAATAAAGAGGTGTATACACAATCACTATTGAATTATAGTAGTTTAGGCATATTATTGTACATTTCACAGAAAACAACAAGTTCTAGGCACAGGTTGGGTCAAAAGGTGTGGATCGTCTGGGTAACGCAGAGGCCTCCACTATATCCGTTCGTCGATGTCTCAGATTGTGTGGAATGCACACTGGACGAAGCCATCCGGGCATGGCATTGGGAAGAGAGGCGCAATCTTGACGGCGTATGCCAACCACCAGATAGAGTTTCGATGCTTGCTGAGGAGATGCCGCTTGTCGCTATGCTCTGTGGCCCTTTGTGTTCACTCTTGTGCTGAATGACCAGCTCGTGTAATGCCTCGAGTTTCGGAAAGGCTTTCGAAGAAGTGCCAGGATGACAGCGTAAGTAGCAGATGATAGAGAGGCCTCACGCAAGGCATTGCTTCCAAAACGGAAGGAAGGTGCTGAGGCACGTAGGCCAGAAGTGGTCGGTCATGGATGTCTCTGATGTCTGTGGCATTCTCGCAAAGACCGCCATGCTGAGTCTTATCCTTGAGCAACGTGGCTGTAAGTGTTGTGTTTCGTCTCTTTTCAACTGGAAAATATGATGGTACTTTCTGAGTTCTTTGAGCTCAGTGACGTGCATCGTGTCATGCATCTTGGATATTGCAAAGGTCACTCAACTCGATGAGTGTGCTGATTGCCTGCGTTCGATTGTACCGAATGCAGGCCGATAACGTCCTGCTCAACAAGATAACGAAGGACCTGTCGAAACTTCTGTTTCTGTTGGTAGCTGGGTGTTGTACTCCCCAGAAGACAATAAGTCGACGCTTAAGCGTGGTACTGGTTCGAAAGTGAAGATGAAATTCAAACCAAAGCCGACTTTCCTTGCTCGTGGTGAGGTAGAAACTACCTGCTTCTATTCATTGAGATCGAGATCAAGCTAGATGGTTTCTAGCTCCGCAAAATCGACGGGTCGAAAAACCAGTATTGGGCGACCCAATGTCGCTTATGTCCTCAAGCGAAGGATGCTGACAGATATAGATGGTGTCAAGCTGATTCCACTCCCTTTGGAGATTGGACTCTGGCATGGTGGTCGTAAGCAGGCTCCCAAGGAACAATGTTTCGGGAAGTTCTCCCTCAATGAAGATTGTTCTGGGGTTTCAAAAGATTTTGGTGCGGTCCAGATGACGGCAGGCTGTTTTTCATTTTGAAGCGCGGTTAAGATGTACTCAGAGCAGAAGCTCACCCTTTCAGAAGGGGTCATCTCGCCCTGAAAGGGAACAACAATGGACCTTCAGCATTTTTGCACAGTGCGACAGCGATAGGAATGAGCTGGCCAGGCTGAGGTTCGCGGCCATGTCGCGTATCACTCCCAGCCAATTTGAACCAGTTCCTAAACTCGTGGACGAGGTGTAAATATGACAGAGGTGGGAGTCTGACAGTTTCTTGCTCATTTCCCAGGGAATCCACCACATCATTCGACCGCCAGGGACATATGGGCATTGCCCAACATGCCTGTCGCAACCTAGCCACATTTCGTCAGCCATAAGAACCATAAACCATAAACTGAATTCGAGAAACGTACCATTTCACAAAATGCATGGCGACTGTTGCATTGAACATGGCGTAGAAGCACTCACAGGCCTTGTGTGCAGTCGATGAAAAAGGGCTGGGAAGATGAGACATCCCAGTTAGCCATAGAGTTTCCTGCTTCGGTTCTGCGTCCCGGGCAGGTCTCATACGCCGAGCTAGCTGAGAAAAGGAGATCCGGGATATTACCCTCCCTGCGCGCGTGTTGAGGTGTACGCTTCAACCAAAGGAGAGTATATCTGTTTAAAGATAAAACATCAAGCAACTGTTACAAGGAGTAGGATCCGTTGAGCGAGCTTCAGAGTCCAAAAATGTGACAAGTAGATGTCCAACAACCATATGGAGGCAATAATGTGTTGCCAGGAAGAAACAATGAACTGGGAGTCATAGGTCGTCAGAGTTTTCAACTCCTGTGTGTTTGAAATTGTCACGGGGAGCGCCGAGAGCAGGCACATGTTGACACCCGGGAATAACTGCCAGGTACATGCTAGCTTTTCAATAACTGATAATTTGTCATTATGCTCTTGAAGCATGCAAGTCAGATTGTTTATATCGTAGGTGTCAAACCACACGGCCGTAAACAAAGACGATATAAAAAGTATGCAGTGGACTTGGGCTGTTGGTGTACAACAGCAAGCCAGGCAGTTCGGAGCTCGCTGGTTAATAAATTAGCCAGACAGATGTTTTCAGGGGTATTCTTTTACTTACCCTGGCCCATCTGGCGAGGTCATTAGCTTGACCTCACTCAGGGATGATCAGTAATGTGTTTTGGTTCTCATCATAACAGATCCACCAAGAGTGCCCATGTAGGCTTCTCAGTCAAAGAATCGACCCGAGATATCCCTCTTCAAAGAGTCAAGTAGATGTATAGAAAGGAAGCAAAGGAATGAAGGAGAGAAGAGTGGTAGAGGAGGAAGGGGTATAAATACCTTAGCACGTCAGTGATGCCTCGGCTATTCTTCGCTAAAGAGCATTCCTGCAACTGAAGCTATTCACGGACCAGATATACTGACTGTTAATATTATACATATGAGTGACGTAGTATCAACAATGCTATATTTCATTCACGGACTGCCTATATTCACGGAAGCACTGCCTTGATCAAGAGAGTGCTCATTCACGTATCACATTTAACTTGGCTATACTAGCTACCGCAACTTATGTTGTAATTGAATGATTGAATGATCTGGGACTATCCCAATAACGTGTAGTTCGTAATCAGATCAAAGTAATTATCGACATGCTGTGGTATACTTCATCGCATCTAACCCTTGGCGAACAACTTGAGGTTATCCAAGCTGCCGTTCCAAATCTCCGAGTCCCCACCATAGGTATAGCTATCCGAGTTCTGCCAGAAGGACTGATACGGCCATCCGCCTGGAATCGTGCCAACAGAGCTGGAGTACCGAGCCAAGACCAGCGGACACTCAGTAAAAGATCTGCTGTTGCCCGTGCAGGTGTTCCACCAGTCAGCGGTGGTATAGATCATCGGATACCGACCGGTGCTGCTCTTGTAGGTCTCGACAAAATCGGAAATCCACGAGACCATCTGCGAGGCGCTGAGTCCGTAGCATGTGGCGCCATAGGGGTTGTACTCGATGTCCAGCATACCGGGAAGGGTGATGCCGTCGTTGGACCAGCCTCCACCGTGAGCGAGGAAGTACTTGGCCTGTGTGGCGCCGCTGCTGTCACTAGGGATGGCGAAGTGGTAACCACCGCGGATCAAACCAGCATTGGTGGCACCGGTGTAATGGCTGGAGAAGGAAGGGTCGGTGTAGGTGGTGCTTTCGGTGGCCTAGAACGATCAGCTCTCCGTATGGCAGTGAGCATAGACGAGACGCACCTTGATCATGACGAAGCGAGCACCGGAGTTATATGCCGCCGCAAAGTTGACGCTGGACTGGTAGTGGGAGATATCGAAGCCTTGAACGGCGGCCTGGGCCACAGAGGCCGAAGCCAGGAGGACGGCCGCAATCTGCTTCAGATCAAGCATCATGTTGATTGACTGTGTCTGAGAAAGTGATCAGAACAGACCTGACCTGCCGGACAAAGAGTCCTATTTATCCTCCTCTCGGCGATATTTCGAATATCCAGCTCGTCATCTTGCCTGCCCGTATTGTCGCATTCAAGGGCGAATACGATGTCGATCACTCCCAAAATTAACCCCAGGGATACTACCGTAATAATCTCCTGCATCAATAGTGGCATCGTTTGCGATTTGATGAATCTCACTCGGCCATTTAAGAAGATCGTCGGGGTGAATACGAGGTACAACTCCGCATCGGTTGTTGAACCCCGTCGGCCCCCCGAACTAGTCAGGACTCCAGGAGAGACGAGGTCTCATCGCGGAGAATTTGGAGAACCTGATTTGCAACGTCTCGCTTAAAGGTACTCTTCTAGGGAGGAGTCGAAGGCCTGACGAAATGACGGGCGATAGAGCGGGTCAATTGAACGGCAGATGGACGGCGAATTAGCCTGAATGATTGTAAATTGCTGTGATATCACCGGATTGACGGGTCCAGATCAGTGACATGACCCTTATAACTGCCCAGAACAAGAAATGGGCGCCGTCTTGGCTGTGGATTTGCCTCATTCATGATTCAGGTCAGACGTTGAGATGTCGTTGAAGAATATATTGCCAGTCGGCATGCACAGAAGTCGCACTCAAGAGGGACGAGATGGACCAGACCAAGATCTCTACATCTGGACTATGAATGCAACTGTCAATCAGAAAAAGAATAAAAGTCAATGAATGCAAATAGTTAGGTCGATGTAACACTGCTATCTTTGCCTGACTGGCAGTATTCGCTTCTTCAAACATTCCTAATCTCGGTTCCAACTCTATTGCCGATTTTCCACTACAACTTTTCCTCTTTCAGCCAACAACATCTCTCCGTCAAACCACATTCTTCATCGTCAATACATCAATACATTAATCTTTCTCACCATCACTTATGATTGATCCCTGAATTTACACCATCTTCCTTGGCGTCCGATCGTTATGGCCCGTCCGAGCGTGCACCTCCGCCTTCGTCGCTACCACGACCGACACTGACCGCAATCCGTCCATCATGACCAACGGCTCCATCGCCAGTGATAAGGAGTTTCGCGATCAGTTGGGCAAATTCCGCCTTGAATCCGTCGTTACTCCGCTTCCCCCTCTTCACTCATCCTCTTCGTCCCAGTCCCAGTTGCAGCCTCGATCCGTGCCTCCTCTTCTTCCACCGCCCAACTCCACCACCGCCAATGTCGCTTCCCCGCTGCAGCCTTCTCACGGCGCCCGCCCCAAACGCGTCTCCACCGCGTGTGATTTCTGTCGCAAACGCAAGAAGAAATGTGATTTCCGATATCCGAATTGCTCTGCGTGCACTCGCGCCGGGGTCCGATGTACTGTTCCACCACCCGGTCCGCTAGTCGCCAGCGCCTCCGTCCCTCGCGACCAGCTCGAGAATCTCCAGAAACGAGTACAATGGTTGGAAGACGTCGTCCGGCGAAAGACAGGCCTATCGGTGGCTGAGCTACCGACGGGAAGCAATGTGGATGGGGAAGGCGATCCGGATTGGTGGTACCAGGTCCCCGCCATAATGGCCAGATACAGCAATCGACACTCCATCGGTGCGGGCAGTGCTACGACGTCAAGTCCTGCCGGTAGCGGACGAGGGTCCTCGACCGGTCCGCCAGCGTCAGAAACATCGGGGTTTGGAACCGAGTTGCCCAACGTAGGGGAGATTTTCCGCGACCAGCTTGAGCATCGTCGGCCGTCGGTCGCACGTCCGACTGTGTCGGCTCCGCGAGTCGTCCGTTTACCGTCCTTGGAAGAGGCAGAACGAATAGCAGGTAACTACTTTGACAGTATGGGTTACCAGTATCCTTTCTTGTCGCGACCGGACTTTCTAGCGCTTCTGCGACACATCTACGCGGGTGGAGTACCGACTCCGGAAGATCACTACTCGTACCATATCACGATAGCCATTGCGCTGTTGATCGGATCGGCGGACGATGCGCAGATCAGTGAGTTCTATCGCGCTAGTCAGCAGACGCTTTCGCTGGCCTTGCAGAACGAGGACCTGGCCGCGGTACGGGCATTGCTGAGTCTGGCGCTATATACAATGTTTGCGACCACCGGCCCTAGTGTGTGGCATGTTCTGGGAACGGCCATGCGACTGGCGACCAGCCTTGGCCTCCACAAGGTGCGGTCCTCGGCTAGTCTGATAGAGGAGGAAATGGCCAAGCGGGCGTTCTGGAGTTTGTATAATCTCGACCGGTTGATTGCGTCAACACTCGGGCGGCCGTTGGGGATTGCTGATGAGGATATCAGCGTGAGTCTGCCACGGGAGTTTAACGATGACTGGACCGAAGTGCCGGGAGGCAGTACCATGACCATTCCGGTTCAGGTGGTTAAGCTGCGCCGCCTGTTCTCCCGGATCTATCGTTACTGTGAGTGCTTTCATGGCAGTTTGCTGTTCTAACTAACAAATTAGTGTACAATAATCAACCGCCTCCTGACCCTCAAGAAGTTTCGATGACGCTGGTTCAGTTCCGGCAAGAGCTTGACGACTGGCGCACGTCAGCGCCTGTGTATCCGCCTGCACTATTATACTCGACCAGCTACTATGATTATCTCTACTACACCACTCTACTTTTGATGTACCGCCCCAGTCCGCGGAATCCCACCCCTGACGCAACTAGCATTGTTAGCTGTGGCGACTCTAGCATTCAGGTCATTCGATCGTACTGGGACAGCTATTCAGTGGGCAAGATCAAATGGATCTGGTTGACGCTGAGCCAGACGTATTTCGCTGGAATTACCATTCTCTGGTGCTTAGAACAAAATTCACGGGCGTTTCGGGATGGACAGTCGCCCTTATGGCAGCCGGATGAGCAGATGATGCGCCGGGCCATCCAGGCGGTGATTGTGCTTCTGGAGGAGTTTGGCAAGCGACGGCCTGGCGTTGAACGACTCGCAGAGAACTTCCGCCATACAAGCACGATGATTTTCAGCCAAATGGCATATCAGCAGCAACAACGGCAGCACCAGCCGCAGCAGGAAACACCGTATCCCCCACCACAGCCACCTCCTCCCCCAACCCCACCGTCCTCGCTACCAGCCATCCCACCGCCACCGGTGCCGCTGGCGCCGATGCTGGATGATGTGTTGCTTGTCGATACTCGGGGGAGCGCGCCGGTGATTGACCCTCAGTTGGCAGAGCAATTATTTTACTCCTATGATTGGTTTCAGGAGGAGATGGCGACATATTATACCCTGTAGTCTAGGATTATGTTCTTGTATATATTCAATATCATCACTGCATCTGCGTGCACCCTTGGCCGCGCAAGATCGCTCATCGACTTTGAAGAGACTGTATCACTGGCTAGGCAGAACTCAATACTTTCCCAGGTGCTCCTCCATAACCACTTCCCTGGGCTAGCGGACATGCTGCAACTGGATCAAATGGAGTGATCTTTCGAGTCACTACGAGCAACATTCGGAACCAATGCCTTTGTTCGCCTCGAAATTGCCAATACTGCATGCATATGTCTTCATTCAAAGAATTATAATCATTCTCAACATCAACTGAGATGCTTTTGCAAAAAGCAGTCCGATATCATTGCATGTTGATCTCTGCGTCACCTGCAGCTGCCCCGCACTGATAAGCATCAATCACTACACAGACATCCCATCCTCAACATTCTTCTTTCATTCTATCATCACTTCCATAGCTATTCATAACATAACACAAATGAACGAAACACCAACAGCAACAGGCCTCCCCCTCGCCTTCCACGGCACAATCATCCACTCCCTCTCCCCCACAGACCTCCAGATTCTCCCCAACACCTTCCTCCTCGTTGACATCACCGGCAAAATCCAGGCTCTGGTCCCCAACACTGACCCCTCAACCATCAACACGCTAATCGCAGACAATGGCTACGCACCCGACGTCTTCCCCGTCAAACACCTGCCCAAACACTCCTTCCTGATCCCCGGCTTCATCGACACACATAACCACGCCCCGCAGTGGGCCCAGCGCGGCGTAGGACGCGGCATCTCACTACTCGACTGGCTCGAGACAGTGACCTTCGCACACGAAGCGAAATTCGAAGACGTAGAGTACGCCAAGCGCATGTACAGCGCAGCCGTGGACGGCCTACTACGGCAGGGGATCACGACAGCAACCTACTACGCCTCCAAGCATCTGGCCGCGACGAAGACCCTAGCGGAGGTATGCCGCGAAAAGGGCCAGCGGGCGCTCGTCGGCCGGTGTAACATGAACCGGCATGCGCCGGGGTGGTACCGCGATCTCAACGCGGGGGTATCGGTCAAGGAGACGGGGGAGTTCATCCAGTGGATGCGAGAGTTCAACGGCGGCGAGGAACGACCGCTTGTGAACGCGGTGATCACGCCTCGCTTTGCGATCTCCTGCGACGAGGAGGTCCTCTCTGGTCTTGGGGCCCTCGCGGCGGCGAACCCGGACCTGCCGATCCAGACGCATTTCAACGAGGCGGAGCAGGAGATGGAGTTCACGAGGCAGCTGTTCCCGGACTTCGCGCATGAGGCGGAGCTGTATGCGCGGTTTGGGCTGCTGAATGAGCGGTCGATCCTGGCGCATTGTATCTTCCTGCGGGAGGAGGAGATGGAGACGCTGGCTCGGCTGCGCTGTGGCGTGGCGCATTGTCCTATTGCCAATACGACTATGCAGGCGTTTATGGTCGCGCCGGTGCGGGAGTATCTGCGGCGGGGGATCAAGGTCGGATTAGGGACTGATAGTGGCGGGGGTCATTCGATTTCCATGCTCGAGGTGATGAAGCAGGCGTTTGTGGTGTCCACGGCGCGGGCGACGGAGACCCGTGGCGCGGATCCAGCGTTGTCGGTGGCTGAGTGTTTCTTCCTGGCGACTTTGGGGGGTGCGCAGGTGTGTGGGCTGGATGAGAGGGTTGGGAATTTCGCTGTTGGCAAGGAGTTTGATGCGTTGGAGGTACGGACCGGGGAGGAGGTGGTGATGGATGTTATGACGCCGGTGGAAGAGGGGGATTCAATTGAGGTCATCTTTGAGAAGTTCTTGATGACGGGTGATGATCGCAATATTGCCAAGGTGTATGTCAGGGGACGAGCTGTCAAGGTTTGATATTAGATCTAGGGTACACTCCTATCAACTGGTACTTGCCAGCATGAGGCTGGATGGTCATAAATTCGTCATATGTGAAGAAATCTATCTACTCCCATGTCCCCCTCGGTGGTCCAAAATATCCCGAAGATGGCAAGGATTTCCACGGCGTCCCCCTGCCATCAGCGCATTGGCGATACACACTGTTCCCCCACCAGTGCAATGGGCCGGCTGGAAGCATGATGCAAAAGAAGATGATGACGGTGGCCACGGCGACGCCAGAGTCGAGGGCGGCAGACAGAACGTAATCTGAGCGAGTCAGTAAAAGCATTACCACAGATGCAAACATGACTCACTGTACTTGGACCACCATGCGGGCTTCCTCCGCTTGATGACCCCATTGAAGATCACATTGACCACCCACCACGAGGAGAAATTGATCCCTGTCGCAGGCGGAACAAGACTCATGGCTCCAAAGGCGACAGGCCATGAGATCTTGTTAAACCACTTCCAGCGCCGTCCAAGGACAAAGGTGATGACAATTACTACTGGTCCGGCCAGGAAGAACCAGAGGAGGTTACCATAGATTTGACCGGGAGAGAAGTTCCGTCCGGGACCCAGGGCGCCTTGTCTGTCAGTAGGAGTCTCAAAAAGAGGGAGAGATGCACTCACCCCATATCAAAGAAGCCGAGTAGGTCACTCGACCGTGAGGACAAGTAAATCCACCATCCGCCTCTGGAGTGCAGATGTCGTCAAATCTTGTGATCATAAAGACAGAGACACCGCATTGGACGATGGCTCCAACGAGTGTGGCTAATCCTTGAGCCATGAACAGCGTCCGTGGGGCGATGTGGAGATAATGAGCGAGCTTCATATCGGCCACAAATCTAAAACAGTCAGCGTCGTCGGTTAGTGAATGAATCATACTCACTCTAGCCCCTGGGAGACAGCCACATAGCCGTAGAACTTGAACACCATATTTGCCAGAGGCCGTCCCAGAAAAGCATACCCTCCGATGAACTCCGTGATAAGGTTCAATTGATTGCTGCTGATGTTGGTGGTAGCCTTGATGATCCCAACTGGGACGAAGTAGATCATGGGAAGGATGAACGCTACCAAAACAGCCCAAGAAGGAAGCCCTGTATGCCAGACTTCGTTGGTGACAATGCCGAGAACGAATATCAGAATGGTTACACCGGCAAACCACCACCATGGAACGTCTGCGTAGGCAGCAATCAATCGCGCATGGATATCCTTCTTGTTCCTGCCTTTCCACTGTTCCCACAGATCCTTTCCATTATACAGCGCAACATGGACAAAGATGCCCGTAAGGTTGGCGAATGCGATTCCATATGTCAGTGCGTAGCCTGCCGGAAGAAACATGGGCGAGTAATGGCGGTACGCCATTGTATCAACTGTCCCATCCCTATTCATGACCTGCTTGGTGTGGTATGGCCTGCCAGTGTTGTCAAACGTATTGGAGTTCATCATAGGCATATAGGCCGAGTACCATGTGTTGGTGTAATAGATGATGGGACAGATGATCCAGTAAAACAGGGCAAACGACCCCATCACATTGAGTCCCGCCCAGAAAGGAACGAGTAGCGGGCTTTGATTCGCGAAAACGACCTGTGCCCAGTCAAAGGTCAAAAGAGACATCCCCAGCCCAGTCTCTTGCCCAAACAGCTGATTGACGACGACGTTCTGCGGGGCGATCCAGCAAATGAAGCTGAACGTGCTCAACGCGGTGAACAGATAGCCCGGGACAAAGTACCAGATAGCGCCGACGGTAAACACTATCAGAAAGAAACGAAGGCGGGACACAATCCATCCATCCGCAAGTAGATTGCTGCGCGAATGCAATGTCTGTAGCAACGCAGCGTTTGATAACACCCCGGGCCAGATCATCGTAGCAGGGCCGACGAGCCAGCGCGAAGCCATTCCCGCGAGACCGAAGCCAAGTAATTGTGTCGTAATTGTCAGCAGAAGATGGAACCCACCTCGTGAAGGCATCCCGTAAAATCTGACGGTAGCCTCAATCACCTGGGTGGCTGCAGCGGACCCAAAGGAGACATTGGCCATGATTGTGATCAAAGCATGCTCCTTGATATTGAAATGTCTGTTCTGATTGACCCAGCCCAGTGGCACCCATCTTGCCCACGCGCAACCGACCGGATACGCCACGAGCTGCGCAACCAGAGCACTAATGCTGACGCTAGGCTGTCGTAGACTAAAGAACTGATTCAACCCACTTCCGACCTGCTAACGCATTAGCGGATCGATCTACGGTTCGGCACGAGACATGTATGACATACAATAGTGAATACGATGCCGATCACCCAGACGCGCACTGTGTTGACAGGCAGACTCACGTCGTCAACTGGCTGCACCACAGCGCGGACCTCAGGAAATGGAGAATCGTCTGCTTCATATGGGAGGATTTTTTCAGCATCATAGTCGTCCAGAACACTGACATGCTCATGGAGCGTTGTTGGAGATGGTTCCTAGTCAAAACTTTCCATGAGCAACCAACCTTGCACGAATGGTATCGCCAGTAGATTTTGATGGGGCAGATGTTGGCTGGTAGATCGCAATCAAGATGTCATACTCGAATAAGGAAAAGACAACCGTGGGTGACAAGTAATATCAGACAGGGAAGTGTGCAATAGAACATGGGTTGCAAGGCGAAACCCACCTGAACCGATCCCTTGCATCGGGCCTTTTCATCTTCTGGCGAATCAACATGAGGACCCTTGATCCCAGCCATATCCTGGCTCTTTAAGCTGGAACTTGGAATGCAACTAGGTATGCTTGAAATCAGCCTAGACTAGTCCCCCGGTCGGAGACTCCTCTGGGCTCTGACTGATCGGAGTTGGGTCTGGCTTGGTGAAGATCAATCAGAAAAGATAAAAGTGCATCTCTGACGCCACCGCAAGCAGCTTGTTTCCTGCACCTGGCTGTTTTCACTAATGTAGCGGATGGATCGTCGACCTTCAGAACTTTGGGTCTAAGGCCTAAGGTGATTGGAACTACTCCGTATAGAACAAACAATCTGTGAAGCAAGCAGAGTAAAGATTTCAAGCTGACTGATTATTAATTTGCTGGTGTTCTAGATTTCAATTGACCGATTGAGGGATGAATTATCATCCCCGAGTCCTGCAGACATCCAAGAATTCCTGAATCCTGTCACCCTGTGTGACAAAGCAAGTCAGGTGATTTCGTTGCCTTCGAGACATTCTTGAAGACTATTTCGAACAAGACTACAGTGTATAGTCAAAGAAGATACTATGATGGAATCGTTACAAAGATTCTACTGGAAAGACCTCGATAATATATTTAATTCGGAAAAAAAAAAGTGATCATCGGACTACTTTCGCTTGGATAGTTTTGGTAAAACACTCGGCTCCTGGCAACACCTCAACCTCGCGAGCAAGACGGCATTAAGGCGACATGACTCGCAGAGGCAGAAACCCCCGTCCCATTCTTCACACATATCTGAAACTATTGGCTCATTCTTCTCCAAAGTCTTCAGATTAGCGCAGTCTTCAGGGATAGACATCCATGTCTGTCGGTATCGGCCGCTAGTTTCTTCCATATTGGTCGGATCAGTAACACTAAAGGTGAATTGACGTGCCTTGCAATGCTTTGGTTGCAGATTAGTCTATCTCTAGTCAATTATAGTGATATTAATTACTATTGCCAAGTGATACGCTGAATTGTTGTGGATGTCTTCTACCAGCGGGTAGAGCCGACGGTCGGATCTGAGCGCTCTTCAACCCCAACGCAGACACCCGAGGTATCAGGAGATTGATCAGGTAAGAGAGTCGTGGCTGGCGGGTATAAAGAATTAAACTGTAACACATTGAACTGACGATGGGGCAGCTTGTCCAGAATGTTCAATCCCAGATACACCAGGTCATGTCCGCACTGACCTAGACTTCACCTATCGACAGCTTCCTTGCGTGGCTCTCTTGTACCCTCACTCTATCGCCTCTGCGAACCCAGCTTCCTGATATTTGGGACTGTCCCATCTCCATATTCTGTGACAAACGATTGGGGCCCAAGAGTCTACAGAAGTATCAGCGAGAAGAGATTTCACCCACAAAATGGGGGAATGCGATCAGAGCCACCACACGTCTCCTATGCCCTTCTCACAACGTCCGATCGTCATCCTAGGCGCAGGAATCATCGGATGCGCTACAGCAAGACAGCTCCTCTTGAATGGCTTTCGCGTTGTGGTTGTTGCTGAATTCCTGCCAGGCGACCAGAATATTTTTTACGCATCAGCCTGGGCTGGAGCAACGTGGCATGCTGCTGGCGGTATCAGTCCCGAGTATCGATACCTTCAAGCTGTTACGCATCGGCATCTGTTGAGGATGGCGCAAGAAGACCCCGAATCGGGAGTTTGCCTTGTTGATGCGCGCGAATATCTCGAAGAAGCACCATCTGAGAACTCCTCTCTCTGGGGTAAGACTGTGGTCTCAAATGTAGGTATTGGAGCCGTTCCGCTCAGTGCGTGTCACCATGCTGACGGGGATAGTTTCGCGAACTTGAATCCGGTGAATATCCTCAGAATTTCCACTGTGGGTGGTCATACCAAACACTGGTAACGGATCCGACACGTCACATGCCCTATCTTCGAAAGCAGATAACTGCTCTTGGCGGCCAGTTCATTCGAAAGCGCGTCGAGTCCCTCCGGGAACTATACGCCATGTTCCCCGAGTCAAGCGTCTTCATCAACGCCAGCGGGCTCGGAAGCAAAACCCTCACCGACGTCCGGGATGACAAGTGCTTTCCTGAGCGAGGCCAGAATGTCTTTTACCGTACCGACAAGTGTCGACAAATGTACTTCCGCAATGGAAAAGAGTATACCTATATCATCCCCCGTCCTTTATCCGAGGGAGTAGTGCTGGGGGGTGTCAAGCAGCAGAATAACCTGTCAGAGACGTTTCCTATTCATGCAGCTCTGACACAAAGCTAACAGTAGATAGGTCCCCAGAGGTTGATATGGACGTTGTTCGAGACGAAATTGCGCGCGCTCACCGTCTCGCACCAGAGGTTGTTCCCACTAATCCGCCCGAAGAGTCCTTGAGCTATATTATCGGTATTCGACCGTCAAGGCAGGGAGGGTTTCGCTTGGATTCGGAGCAATTGGGCCAACAAACAATCTTGTCAGCTTATGGCTTCGGAGGAGGAGGCTATGCATTTTCTTATGGAGTGGCGGAATGGCTGGTGAAGACAGTGGAGAAGTCTGAGAGAGAAAATGTGATCCTATAACCTCTGTCCATCACATTGGAATTGGTGATGGTTTCAGCTTCTCCATCCTGCCATTGCAGATCCTGTTTCTGGTGACTACCCACCAAAGATCGGCTAAAATTACTGATATGAATTCAAAACTTTCATCCGAGTTCGACAGTCTTCGACTCCTGCCGACCACGTTGGGTAGTATTGGGTCTGGCCTTGTCGATGAGATCCCTCAAGAATCTTTGGTGTCAGCGGGTCCTCGTGATTGCGAATCCCGCACGTTTTCAGGCTCGAAAGTAATAATCTATTCTAACTCGAATCAGACCTCGTCCCAGCGCTTCCAAGCTTTTGGCATGTTCCTCTCCTCTCAGGGATCAGGATCCACATCGTCACGCACTTAGCCACCCACTAGCAAGGCGCGGAACCAAGAGTCACGAACCATATTCTACTTCTGACAAGGTCATGGTCTCTTACTACCGGCATAAATTATCAAAAGCCGAGGCGACAGTGCTTCGAGGAGATCAGGTCTGCATATCATATCATCTCTAAGGTTTCGACCGATCCCTAGTATGGGCTGCATGGCAGAGATGTCACACACTATGACATCATGTCATCAGTCCTCCGTTTGTTTGATCATCTGAGCCATCGGCATCAGTGTCAGTCTCACGCTGAGCGTGTCAGCTTCCCGATGATCGCAGAGGCAATATCGCGGCTCGTGTTGAAGTGAACTGGGAAATGTCAAACACAACGCTGGATCATGGCGAGGAAAAAGTACCAATTAACGAGTCATTGGACCCGTGGAGTTCACGAGTCAAATGCAAGGGATTCAAAGAGTCGCGGGTAGAGAGTAGACATTTTTTTCCCTGTTTCGGGACTTCAAGCCGACCAGATGTGATTTGCCTCTACAATCTACATGAACACAATCTTCAGCTTACAGCGGCGAAGGACCGTTTCTGTTTTTGAGACTTTTTCCATCGTAGTATTGTGGACTCTCCAACTTAAATCTGAACATAGCGGTGCAGCAACCTGTTTTTTGACGATTCTGCGCGCATCTGGAACCTGGGATCGCCTTCCCCGCAGCCGCCGGCTACAACTTCCAGCCAGTGGCTGACACACTCGGTGTCGGGACTCGATAGGTACTGTAGGTACTGTGCAGGCGTGGAAGACTCTTTTCTTGGCCGCCATGACGTGGGTGGTGGTGATCTTGGCCTGCGACTGGTCCCGACTCCCAACTCCCAAGTATTTGGAATGGAATGGCCTGACGGGACAGTTCCAAACCCACACTAAAAGAAGGTCAATCATCATTTGCCTCTTACGACTAAGGAGTTGGACTTGACTTGGGACTACTCTATTAAGGATACGTACTAAAACTACTTGGTTGTATCACGAGGGGCAGCGAAGAATTAGTTATCTGCGACTGCGACTGTGAATTTCTACTCAACCTCTTTCATCCATCACTTTCCACATTGACGTGCATCAGTTGATAATCATCTGCATTCTCGGGGCAAATTAACTGGTCCATTGATAATCCTTCACTCAACTCTCATCTTCCTCCGCTCGGCCATTTCTCGATCCTGTTTCGGACCCCCTCGGTTGCGCCACAGGGGAAGAGGCAAAAGACAGAGCCAAACCACAGAATTGGGAAACTGACTAACAAAACTCTCCTCATGCATCTTCTGCAGTAGCGAGTTCTCTGTTGGGTTCCTTTCTGCTGTTACTACCTCGCTAGACTCGTGCGGGGGATTCAGCTAGCTAAAATGGCTCTCGACAAGGAGCTCCTTCGTCTTCACATCGGAGATGGCCAACAGAGACCCGTAAATTTCTCCACGGTCGCTACTCCTCCCGATGAAGAGCAGCTCAATCTGCAGCGCAGTGGTAAGGATGCAGCTGAACCGCCGCAATGTCCAAGCTGTGACACTTTGCGTGACACCCAGGGAGAGGTCGCCCAGAACGACACTTCCTCGCTGAGTCGAATCTTCCGCTACACTCCTGTACCGACCATCGTCCTCGACTCGTCCTTGCGCGTGACTGAAGTGTCAAATAGCCACCTTACTTTCTGCGGAAAGTCTCGAGACTTCCTCCTGGGAGCCTCCATCTACGAACTACCCCTCACCACGATACCTGCACCAGACGTTGCGACTTTGAACGGTGCTTTGCATGTGGCGATTACGACCCGGGCTGTCCAAGTGATCGAAACCATCCACCTTCCCAGAATCAGCTCTTATTTTTCACTCAGAATCATGCCCGTTTTCGAGGGGACGACTCTGATGAACCTGGTCTTGGAAGCGCACAACGTCACCAGGACGCATACCGAGTCGCTACATAATGCCTACATCAATGAAACTTACAAGATCCTGGTTGACACAGTCCGAGATTACGCCATCTTCATGCTGGACTCGCGCGGCAACATTGCAACCTGGAATTCGGGCGCGGCGATTATCAAGGGATACAAGGCGAGTGAGATCATCGGTCGGCATTTCTCGATCTTCTACGGACCCGAAGATCGACTGGCGGACAAACCTGGAAAAGAGCTCGAAGTGTGCCTACGGGAAGGAAAAGTCGAGGATGAAGGCTGGCGGTATCGTCAGGATGGTTCACGGTTCTGGGCCAACGTAATGATTACACCCATCTTCTCGTTCGGTCGGCACGTTGGTTTCGTCAAAGTTACGCGCGACTTGACCGAGCGCAAAGCGGCTGAAGCGCGGATGGTCGCAGCCTTTGAGGAGTCATCCAAGATGAAGAGCGACTTCCTGGCCAATATGAGCCATGAGATTCGGACGCCCATGAATGGAATGCACCTGGCATTGACCATGTTGGGGAGCACGGAGCTCGACGCTCAGCAACGTGAATACACTTCCATCATTGAGGATTCGATGTCGATTTTGCTTCAAGTGATCAACGACGTGCTTGATTATTCCAAGTTATCCTCCGGCACCTTCTCTCTGAACACGGATGTCCTGAGCGTCGAGAATATCGTGGGAGCGGTTGTACGGAATTGCAAGGCCTTGAACCCTGCTGTGGAGATTTACTGTTCGATGCCCGCGGGCTTCCCGAAAATGCTCCGGGGTGATCCGCTTCGGTATCGGCAAGTGATTCAGAACCTCGTGGGAAATGCGATGAAGTTTACAGAGAAAGGACATGTCAAGGTCAACCACACTTTCGCAACAGATGAGCACGATCCCAATATGTACACAATCACGACAGAAGTTATTGATACTGGCATCGGAGTGCCCGAAGATGCCATCAACACCCTTTTTACCCCATTCACGCGGTTTGCAGATTCGGCCACCAAGCGCTATCAGGGCACAGGGCTTGGCCTGTCCATCTGCAAGAGCTTGGCAGAGCTAATGGATGGCTCTGTTGGATACAAACCCAATTCGGAAGGAAAGGGTAGCGTGTTTTGGCTGACAGCCAAAATGTATGGCGTGGACGTTCCGACATCGGATAAAACTTGCGTCGCCGCTCCCGCCGAAGATTCATACGAACCCATGGAAGAGGTCAAGCGGATTGCTCCCCACGTGCACATATTGCTAGTGGAAGATAACATGGTGAATCAAATCGTCATGCTGAAGCTCCTCAAGAGCCTCGGTTTCGAACGTGTGGACACGGCCTGGGACGGCGCGGAGGCAGTCCGACTCGTGAAGCAAACACCTCTCTCCTACAATGCAATTCTCATGGACATCAACATGCCGGTTATGAATGGACTCGAAGCGACGACGAAGATTCGTGAGGTGAACAACGACGTGCCGATCATAGCACTCACCGGAAATGCGCTAAAGGGGGACGCGGAGACGTACCTTGCGAGGGGCATGAACGATTACATCGCTAAACCGGTTCATCGCAAGCAGCTTGTGCAGTTGTTGTGGAAGTGGCTCGGTTCGTGAGCAATTCTTCATCTGGCCTGGTTGGCTGGCGGTTTCTTCATGGGACAGTATCTGATTGTCCTTTTATAACTTAGCGTGGGATGGGCTCGCCATCCTATCTGCCCGCCGCCAATCTACGATAGCTCTCGCCCTCAAGTGAGCGGCGTCTCGCTCATACCCTGCGAGTTCCTATCTTCGGTCAATTTCTGACCTACCCGGCTAATGCATCTTCGATAACCTTATCATGTGCCAAGAGAATGGGCACCCGATCGACCATAACTTGGATATCAGCCTCTTGACGGGGGTTACAATTTCTCGACGTCGACCATTTACACAACACTTGGTCTGTCCGCTCGCAAGCTCGCTACGTACTCCGCTCTTTCATTGTGTGCCTCTTTGATCACAGACTCGCCATTGGTCAGACACCCGTGATAATAAGGTGGATCGTCACCGGAGATGGATTGGTTTGTCGGCCTGTCGGCCTGTCCGGCTGGGGTAACGCAGTCCAGTTTGGACGGGTTTGACTGATGGTCACGGAGACACATGGAAGGAGACTGTATCCTCCATGGCAGAGATGGACAGGCCGGCGAGCAATTATTCTACACCGGGATAGCATCAAGCATCCTGCCCGGTCATGTCACGATACTATGAGTCATTTGTCTATCAGGCCGCTACCTAAGTGTGGCCTTGGATCATGTAGTACGAATTGATGACACTTAATGGTGACATGAATTGACGAGTATTGTTCTACATTTAGTGCACTCGGTGTGCCTTCCAGTCTTTTTATAGTATTATGTCTAGGCTGCCCAGCGTCGCACGACTGTGCACCCTTACAGACATGTGACTTGATCCAACATCTTGCACCTGGTCAGTCTCTCCGACAATTCTCACCACAGCACCCCGATGAACCCCAATCCTACCCCATCAAAACACACTGCTCCTTCAAATCAAGGCGCCAAACCTTGTAGTGCTTCGACCGTCACCGATTATCAAGTCGATCTTCCCCTATTCGCACCTGGACGCGGACTAGATCGGCGGTGGGGTTGGGCTTTAGCTCAACCTTGATGTTGCGGGGGTGCTCGATGGGGAAATCTCCTGAACTATCAATTGGAGCGTTTGCGTGCTCTGGAGAACTTGTTTGCGCTTTGCGCTTGCTTCTTGATGGTTATCTTTGCGGCCGTTGTATACCGAGGCTATACTTACAAGACGCCGCATCTCTCATCCAAATCAGACAACACCATTTGAGCCAGATTGTCCTACCTCGTGTCTGTGCGCCAGGGTGAATTTGATCGTCCGTCTCCTGACTCATTAAAGAAATGAAGATCATGGTTTGTGGGTGCGTCACATGAGTTCTTGGGCAGATCAGCCCGAGGCACGGAAACTGTTAAGCTTCTACCTGACTGCATCTTCACTTACAGTCTTGCTTGTTTGTCTTGGATGCTTGAAGAACTGGGTGTAATAAGCTTCAGTATGCCTTCATTCCCCGCTGCAGTACAATACCATGAACGAGTTCAAGAAATGCGGTATCACACGTCCAATCAAGGTAGGACACAATCCCTGGTTGATGTAGATCGACATGACCACGAAGCTGATCCCCAATCTTAGTCTGTCTTTGCTTCTATTAGCTCCGTTCTGTGCTAGCACTATGCTCCACTGCGACGTTCCATCATGATGTGATGGGCATTATATGCGATTCGTGCGGGGTTTCGATCAGGAGAGACGGATCATGGGTATTATATAAAGGGGTTTCCTGGCCGTCTTGCTGGGTACAGTACACACAAGCTGGTCTTGCGCTGAATAATGCGATTCTCACACGTCCTCCTGGGAGCTGCAGCTGCAGCCGGCGTGCTCGCTGGTCCCACTCCGAACGATCATGTCGTGCATGAACGTCGTGCTGTCCTACCTCGCTCCTGGACAGAGGAGAAGAGACTGGATAAGGGCTCTACGTTGCCTATGAGGATTGGTCTCACGCAGTCGAACCTAGATCGTGGCCATGACTTGTTGATGGAAGTGTATGTGATTTGACTAAACCTAGGTGTATCCATCGTTGATAACAGGTAGATCCAATCCCCGCTCGTCTCGCTATGGACAATATTTCTCCGTCGAAGAGGTTCACGATCTCTTTGCTCCGAGCCAGGAAACTGTCGATCGTGTTCGAACATGGCTTGAGTCTGAGGGCATATCCGCCCACCGCATCTCCCAGTCGGTGAACAAGCAGTGGCTTCAGTTTGATGCGAGTGCAGAGGAAGTTGAGCGGCTACTCCGTACCGAGTACTATCTGTATTCACATGAAGGAACGGGCAAATCGCACATTGCTTGCCGGGAGTATGTGTTGGCCTTTTCGTTGAGTGATAAGCATGCTTATTATCCAGGTACCATGTCCCCCAGTTAGTGCAACGCCATATCGACTACATCACCCCTGGCATCAAGCTACTGGAGGTGGAAGGAGTCAAGAGATCTCGGAGCATTGATAAGCGGACATTTGGCATTGGCAAGGGCCAAGGCACGCTGCCGCCGATTCTTGAGCCGCTGGCACTGCCGTTGTCCGAGCTACTGGGTAATACATTGGTATTGTGTGACGTTGCAGTCACACCAGCTTGTATCTCAGGTATCTCCACCGTCACAGTCCAACGACGTAGCTAACCCAAGGTAGCGATGTACAACATTACCGAAGGCACCAAGGCCACCAAGGGCAATGAATTGGGCATCTTTGAGGATCTGGGGGATGTCTACAGCCAAGAGGATCTCGACCTGTTCTTTTCATTTTTCGCACAGTATGTTTTTCCTTGCTGAGTTGTTTCATCGCTGACCCCTCTAGGCAAATTCCCCAGGGCACTCATCCCATCCTGAAAGCCGTTGACGGGGCTCAAGCTCCAACCAGCGTGCTCAACGCAGGCCCAGAATCCGACCTGGACTTTCAAATCTCGTACCCGATCATCTGGCCGCAGAACTCCATCCTCTTCCAGACCGATGATCCAGTGTACCAAGCAAACTACAACTTCAGCGGCTTCCTCAACACATTCCTCGATGCGATTGACGGATCCTACTGCAGCGAGATCTCCCCTCTAGACCCGTCGTACCCCGATCCCGCCGACGGCGGCTACAAAAGTCAACTCCAGTGCGGCGTCTACCAACCCCCCAACGTCCTCTCCATCTCCTACGGCGGCGCCGAGGCCGACCTACCCATCGCCTACCAGCGCCGCCAGTGCAACGAGTGGATGAAGCTCGGCCTGCAGGGCGTCTCCGTCGTCGTCGCATCGGGCGACTCCGGCGTCGAGGGCCGCAGCGGCGATCCAACCCCGAGCAACTGCCTCGGCACCGACGGCAAAGTCTTCGCCCCCGACTTCCCAGCCACCTGTCCCTACCTCACCGCCGTAGGCGGGACCTACCTCCCCCTCGGCGCCGACCCCCGCAAGGACGAAGAAGTCGCCGTCACCTCGTTCCCCTCCGGCGGCGGATTCAGCAACATCTACAAGCGCGCAGACTACCAGCAGCAAGCGGTCGAGACCTACTTCTCCCGAGCAGATCCCGGGTACGCGTTCTACGAGAGCGTCGACAACAGCAGCTTCGCGCAGAACGGGGGCATCTACAACCGGATCGGACGGGCGTACCCGGACGTCGCGGCCGTCGGCGACAACGTCGTCATCTTCAACAGGGGGCTGCCCACGCGGATTGGCGGGACCTCGGCCGCTGCCCCCGTGTTCGCGGCGATCCTGACCCGGATCAACGAGGAGCGGCTCGCGGCTGGCAAGTCGCCGGTGGGCTTTGTGAACCCGGTGCTGTATGCGCATCCGGAGGTGTTCAATGATATCACGCAGGGGAGTAACCCGGGCTGTGGGACGCAGGGGTTTTCTGCTGCGAAGGGATGGGATCCGGTGACGGGGTTGGGGACTCCGAATTATCCGGCGATGTTGGACCTGTTCATGCGCCAGCCGTAGCTCACCCCGGTTGTATAGTATCTAGATGTTCCGCACTGCAGGTAATGCGATGCCATGAGGGATGTGGCATGTCCTCGGTCTCCGGGTGTGTGACAGACCATTAATTGACGCAGTCCGTAGTAAGCGAGGTTCCAAATCTTGATCTTTAAAGTTTCCGGATTTAGAGTTGTTCTAGAGCGCCTAGTCAGGAGGACGGGCGACGTGGAAAGTAAACCAAGCTGGAGACAGTGAGGCCAATACACGGCGAGTCTTTTTCACGGATTGAAGCGTCTCGGTACTTTTCTAGTGCAAATGTCGTTTCGTTTACTGGGCAATCATCTTATGGGATATCATTTTTATGTACCGCTCTATATCCTCCCAAAAGAACATATATACATCAATCATCAGGCATGACAGACCCATCACAATGACATCTAGACAATAACCTTGTGGGTGGCGGGCTTCTCGTCCTCCTCGCCAAAGATGTTGATGTCCCAGCGAGGCTTGTTGGCAGTGTAGGGATGTTGAAGCGGCGGGGCTGCTTGCCAAGAGAAGACACCTTCTCGACTTCCTCGGGAGTAAGCTCGATCTCCTGGAAGTTGGCGGCGATACGAGAAGGAGTGACCGACTTGGGGATGACACTGTGGCCACCGACCTGGGACCAGGCGAGGATAACCTGAGCGGGGGAGACTTCCTGGCCGAGTCTCTTGGAGACCTCGGCGGCAACCTCCTTGACCTTGTCGCTGGCGATCAGGAGAGGGAGACCGAGCATGTTGTTACCAAAAGCCTGTATAAAAAAATCAGCGACTGTTGGCAATTATCAATGGGAGGTAAAAAGGCGGCATACCGAGTAGGCGGTGACGTGGATGCCCTTCTCCTTGCAGTAGGCAATCAGCTCGTTGCTCTGCAGACGAGGGTGGCGCTCAATCTGGTTGGCAGCGGGAACAACACCAGTGGCCTTGATGAGGGCCTCAAGCTGTACGGTGTCAGCTATTGTCTCCTGTCTGGCGCCGCTCACTTACGTGGTCAACGGTGTGGTTGGAAACACCGACGGCGCGGGCCTTGCTCTTGGGGAGCTTGGTCATGGCCTTCCAGGTGTCGACAATGGAAATGGTGTCATCAATTTCGACATCGCCGTCGGGGATAGGGCTGTCCTTGATGAGAGGGAAGTACTCGTCGCCGGGCTTGAAGGCGACAGGAAAATGAACGAGGTAAAGCAAATTCGTGGTCTGAGGAGCAGACTCCGAGTAGTTATGGGAGCAGTCTTAACATATCATTCATTTCAGCATCATTGGTGTCGTTGGAGACGGAGTAGGAAATCCTCTTTCTTTCATAGCAGTATCAGAGCTCGTGGTGGTGGACGCAGTAATATGGGTGGATGTGGTCCAGTAGTAGGAGTGGACGAGGATGCAGCGGCGGCTGGGTTCTATGTTTGTTAGTCTGCAGTCATCATCCTTTGAATATTCGAACAGTCTTACCTAGTTGACCAGACCACAAGGCAATAACAGGGACAACAAGATAGAGAACAAGCTAGACACCAAATAAAAACGAGAAAGACAACATAATAGATAATAAGATAGACAACAAGATATACAGAAGACAAACACAAGATAAACGCCTGGTTCGGCCACCACTGTTATGGCTGAAAGACAGACAAGGAAGGGGTCGAGTAAGTGTCTTTGGTACCTAAGAGAAGGAAAAGAGAAAAAAAAAATGAAAAGAAAAAGAATTACAGGATGGAACCGTAATGTTTAATAAATAAGGACCTATCAAAACCTTTGTTTCAGTTGGTAGGTAGGTGTTATACTCTCCAGGGTATGGTTCCATTTCAAAATTAAAGATGGAATTTGCTCTTGCGCTTTTGCTGGATGGTGATGGAGAAGGTGAAAGGGATGATGAAGATTACAAGAGTGGTGCGATGAACAAGTAGTAGAGGTAGGTAAAGAGCAGACAAGTTGAGATAGACTCAGAGAAAGAAAGGGAGAGAGGTGTTGTCGTGGGCTTTTCAAAGATTAGGTTTAGGAGAAGGAGCATTCTAGCACTCTAAAGAGTTTAGTTAGTACATGTCAGTAATATAACATTGACCTGTCGGGAAGTTTTTTTTTTTTTTTTTTTTTTTGCAGTCACTGTTCCAGTGTTTCCCTCCAAGTATCAGCATGGGCGTGTGGTCCCGGAATGACTGGTCGGTCTTCTTCTCTAGCTTCTTATCATCGGCCTTGGAGGGATTATCTTGAGGAGATGTTGAGATGTCAATGCGGCGGTTTCGGCTTCTGGTTTAATCTGTCGTCCCAGCTTGGATAGGAGGTGGTCGATATGTTCGAGGAGTGTACTCATGTACAGTGACAGCAGTAGTGGCACGCTTGATGGCTGTGTGGTTTGTCAGTCATCCTCCTCCTTTAGATATCGAAATGAATACTTACGTGGTTGGTCCATGGCATCCAGTATAAGTCATAGACACCGCTGGCTTCATACCGCAAATCGAGTTTTATTGGATGCATCGATGGTTGAAGAGGTGTTTAACGTCATGGAAGAGGTTGAGGTGGTCCATTATGTGGCGCCAGCCCGCGTAGTTGCTCGGGAACCGGAGGAGTTATGAGAGCAGTTGTAAGCAGTCAAGGAGCAGTCGGAGGATTGGTCTCAGGAGCAGTTGTGAGCGCAGTTAAGGGAATAGTTGAGAAAGAAGTCGAGGGAAGAGTTGAGAAAGAGGTCAAGGGAATAGTTTGTAAGAGTAGTTAAGGGAACAGTCAAGGGAATAGTTGAGGTTATGGCTGAGGGAACAGTTGACAAAGGAGTCGAGGGAACACTCGAGGGAGAAGTTGAGTGAGAAGTCAAGGGAAGAGGTTGAGAAATGAAGTTAAGAGAATAATTTGTAAGAGCAGTTAAGGGAATAATTAAGGGAATAGTTGAGGGAATAGTCGACGGCGAAGTCGACGGAAGAAGTTGATGCAGAAGTTGAGGAAACACTCAGGGGAACAGTTGAGGGAGAGGTTGAGAGAACAGTTGAGGGAACAATTAAAGGAATGGTTGAGGGAACAGTCGACACAGAAGTCGAGGGAGAAGTTGAGGGAGAAGTAGTGGCAGGGAAGTGATTGTTAGAAAATTAGCAGTTAACAGCAATGCTATTAACATGCTGACAGACCAACTTTCCAATTATTAGCCATCAAACTAATCAGCCAGAAAGGTGTCTAGACAACTATTTCTAGTGTAGTAGGAATGATAGTGCATAATCTGGTTAACATAAGTATTGACTGCTGGGTCTTCAAGCTTAGATACATACATGTGTGGCCTTCAACAGCAATGCTATTAACATGCTAACAGACCAACTTTCCAGCAATAACTGCCAAGTCCCCAACCTCAAATGTATACGTGCGGTCTTTGACAGCAATGTTATCAATATGTTAACAGACCAACTTTCTAATAAGTTGTTAAGTGTGAATATATATATATGGCCTTTGACAGTAATGCTATTAACATGCTAACAGGCTGGCTTTCTAGTGACCCTTAAGCATAAATATGACATATGGCCTTCAACAGTAACTAATGCCATTGACATGCTGACTAACTAACTTTCTAGTAGTTAACTAGTTAATGACTGCTAAGCCCTTAAGCTTAAATGCATCTATATAGCCTTTAGCAGCAGTACCTTTTAATACACTAATAGGCTTTTTATTCTTCTGCTTTAGAGAACCACCTCTAATGTCTGTTAGTAACATAATCCAGTATCCTTAATTAACTTAGCATCATCTGCTGACCTCTCCTCATCTGTCAGATCTTCAATACTCAAGAATTACTTGCCTCCACACTCATTTTCATGGCCACCAAGGTCTCAATCTTGTTATTAATGCCATGAACTCTCTGAAAATAGGACTGGCAAGCTTCTGATCCATCTATAACTTTGTCTTTCCAACAAAAGGCCTGAAATGTCATGTCCAGTGATCCCTGTGCTGGCTGATATTGCGCTCAATTGGGAGGGCTCTTCAATGTATACTTACTTTTATAGTAGTCGCCGCACCAAAGCTCATTGTTTCCCCCTAATTTCAGCAATGACCACGTTGAGCTGTATAGTATTTTGCATTTTTCGCATCGGCATTCCTTATCTTAAACTTGCTCTCGCGTTATAGGAAGCTCATCATACCATATATGATAAGTCTGGTAACATGTGACACAGAGCCACTCTTTGAGGTCTTTTTCCCATGTCCTTAATTTCATATCGCACTTGCAATGGTAGCATGTCTGTATTTCTTTTTTAGCTTTGTTGAGTGATTCAGCAGGCTGCACTTTAGACTCCTTACCATACTCTACCTCATGTTGCTCTACTGTGGCACATAAATTACAGACCAGTTCACCATTCTTTTTTGACCACCTCCATTTCTTAGTATGGTCCGTACGCCCACATCTTATGCATTTCTTCAAGCCTTTTGGTATTTGCTCTCAACGCACTACTTATCACTGAAAATTCCCCTTATGCTTCTTATAGTAAGATCCATAGCACAGTACGCATACCACTTTTATTAAGCCATTAATATTCAAGGTTGTCCAAGTCATCCCATCAGCCTTAGTCTTGCTGCCTTGCATAGGTAGCATACCTTATGCTTAATGTCCTTTAGCATGATTTTCTTCTGTTTTCCCTCTTTCTCCACTTTCTCTTCTTTATTCTTTTTCTTATTCTGTCTCTACACTTTGCTGTAGCATTTTTTACACATAATTATGCCAGGCTCTCCAGGTTTATTCAACCACCTCAGGGACTCAGTAGCTTGGCACATGGCGCATTTGCTAGAAGTCACCTTCCTGTGACTCAGCCTACCCTGCTCTACCAGCTTCTTCAGACGATCCTCATTCTTATTCTTTAGATAGTTGTGACATGCCATACAAAGTCATCTTCCATCCTTGCTAGGATGAGGCTTCCAGTTGTACTGCAGCAACTTCACAGCTTTATTCAAAAGACCCTCAGACTCTGTAATTTAGTAATTTAGATTATCACATACTCTGTCTCCAGCATTCTTATGGTCTATTAGTTTCAAGTGGTTAACACAAGATTTAGGCCTATCCTCTCCCTTAAATTATTTATAATTCCAGTAATTTGCACATAGGTACAATGTCCCTGGAAGCACTCCCTAAGCTCTTCTAAAATACCAAGCTGTGCTAGTTTCACAATTAGCACAAGAATGTACCAGCTTCCCATACCAACTGTTACAGGCTAGGCCGTAGGGAAACCTATGACTAGGTATGTATAATAAGAACTCGCTGAGGAACTAGAATAGGGGGTCTGTGGGCCTGGATAGAAATATCTGATTATGCACTACAGCTAGTGAGGTATTACATAACCTAGAGCTGGTATCTATCTTAGATGTATAAGTATATTACAGGCCTTACTTATAATATTACCCCCCTTCCCCTCTAGTATATGCCTCCCATGCTTCTAGCATAGCTATATCTATAAGATTACTAGCTAGTTCCTATATAAGCTATTAGTATCTAATCTATTTAATAAGTAGTTCTCTTTACTACCCTCTACTAATCTTTCTAATATATTTATTTAATATATATTCTACTTAATATTCTTCCTCCTTGTTGCGAGCAAGGCCCGCGATATGCTCGTGCCGCCTAGCAGGCACTCGCGAAGCCGTACAGCTCTGGGTCACGTGACACCTTGCTAGCTGCGGCGCGCAATCGGATATTTCTATCCAGACCGCGCGCACCTCCTATTCTAGTTCTTCAGCGAGTTCTTATTGTACATACCTAGTCATAGGTTTTCCTACGGTCTAGCCCGTAACACTCTTTCTCTTATTCATGCTACTATATGATTACTGTGATATCGCAATGTCACAAAGTCAAGCGTCCCAGTTCTGTGATACTCACCCATCATTTATAGATGATGCTAGCTTCTTTAAGACCTTATAACTACCTCCTTCGGACAACTTCCTACCTGATCTTTTATTTAGCCAGCTAACATACTCAGTCGCACCGTCAATCAGCGATTCCAATCCTACTAGTTTCCCCGCTTAACTACCTCCTGTGATTCCACCCTGTCTTGAACAGATTAGTCTTTATCATAAGAGGAAGACTCAAACGTACATCGTCTTTGAGATGGGAAAAGACTCAAATCTTTTTGTGGCGTGGTGGCTTTAGACAGATTTTGGGAGGAGTAAGCGAATTTGTTGGGATGCGCCCCAATAATCTCCTGCTTGGCAAGGCTTTAAATAAGTAGCAGATGCTGAGGACAGAACACCAAAGGTTCTTTGTACTGCCTGTCAAGTAGTTCAAGAACATCCAAAGGCCAGAGGGGGCTTATCTACAATGACACGACATCATACTGGGGCTGGTGTAAGCAATCAACCAAAAATTCCACCATCAAGCAGTTCATACAGCCGGTAATGCCTGCCTTATTCTATTATCTACTAGCTTACTTACTAATGCTCTATTACTAGACCGGCCAGCCATCCAGCTTGCTCAATATCACGCAGGCAAGCTGGGAAGCCGCGCAGATCTGATTCATCACTGAATCCCGACTCCCCTTTCAACTACTAAGTCATCCTGGCTTCATTAATTTGATTTAAATGGCATAACGTATGACATCGCGGCTAGATGTTCTAAGTCCTAAAACAGCGCGGAGTCACATACATACTACTGTTGCCAACTGTTAATGAGAGCTACTTCAGACACTACCGAAAGACAGCAAGCTATCACTTACCCTTGATTACTAGACGTCTCCATTCTGACAGGCCTTTATGGCTATCACTGCCTACTTTGTCAATGATTATTGGAATTATCATGAGTTGCTCCTTGGGTTTAAGCCCCTCTCTAGAAAACACTTAGGCGTGAATCTCGGTGCTATGCTTCTGGAGCTTCTCTAAAAGCATGAGATAGCAGACTGAATCCTCACAGTTACTACTAACAATGCTTCCAATAACAACACGTTAATGGAGAGCATTCAAGACTCAATTGAGTGTCTTGACCTTAGCGGTGACATTCTAATCATCTAAGTTCCATGTCTTGCACATGTGATCTAGCTTTCTTTGAACAAGCTTCTTAGCCAAATGAAAGCAACCCCTAAAAACAAGGCTGCTAAATTACAATGGTCGGATGAACAAAATCAATCCATTCACTCCCAACAAAAGAAACGGGAGATTATTAATACACTTAATAAGGTATGATACTCTTAAACTCACTAAGCATGATACTAATTACTCTCAAAAAGGTCCGAAGCTTGGCTATCTTCATTAATGCTAGCTCACAACGTCAGGAAGACTTTTATGAACTCCAGACTAAGCTAAAGATACTACCAATCCAAGACGTCAAAACACGATAGAATTCGACATTTCTTATGCTCCATCGTGCGAAACGTCTCCAGTTGATTTTCAACCAGTATTGCTTGAAGTACAACCAGTCGCATTTAATGCTTGACCAAGAGCAATGGCGCCAAGTCAACTACCTTTTATAGATCACCCAGCCATTCTTTAAGTACATAACAGCACTCTTGAAGACAAGAGATGTAACT